ATTCTTCATAAGGCATTTTAAACGAATTTTAAAGTTCTTAATTGGCTTCCAGAGAGAAGATATGTAAAATTGAACTGCACACATACATAAATAATTCAAAGTGTCTTATCATCGTCTCAGGAGATTTTTTCAGCAACGAGAAAGGCTCTTTAGCATGCAACAGAGTAATACAATTTGGAAACACAAACGAAAAAAAACAGCACTATTCTCTCTAGACGCTTTCTCCTTTAAAAAGTTAAAAAAACGATGCCAATGAAAGCAGTAAAAACAATTAAAATACAATAAAGAGAGAGCTTTACCTTAATGTAGTATTTCGGCCAGCGACTAATATCCAAAAAATTTGATTATAATTTGAAATCCCAGCTTTTCAAGCGGTCCAATATGGCAAGGCTTTATTCCTGTACGGATGGAGAAAGTGTAATTATTTGAATCGTGCATCAGTTACAGAAACAATACTCTGAGAGCCATTTTCGTACTTCATATCGCCCGCTCAATTCACAGCATAGACAAATCCCTACCTGCTTGCAAAGTCTGCAAAAATTAGAGATTATAAAGGTCTCTCAAATCATCGTCACCCCATGCACAACATATCCGCGGGATTGGCTTCTTAAAAGTTCAATCCTCACAGTCCAGCTCCAGCAATTCAGTGACTGATGTATGTTTTTTTGCTCGGCTAGCCGCCGAATGACCTCAAGGTTTGTGTTTATAATTCCAGCTGTTCTGAAGATCGTTAAAATGATTTTCGCTTCAGGAGATGCGTTATAATTGGTCGCATCTCTAAACGATCTCCACTTGCTTTTATCGGTCGTTAAATCGGTGAAATGTCTTAATTTTATCTCCACCCCACACAACGATATCTAAATTTTAACATTAAAAAGAAAACAATGATTCAAAACCACAATGTTAAGTTTGAATGTCGAGCCATTTTTGTTTACTTGTCATCGGTTTTTGTATCAATCTAGCCATCCTCCCAAAATGACAGTTAAAAAAACTTACCCAGCACGGTGTCAAATGTAGTGTGAATTTGGCATTTGAAAAACATTCTATTTAGTCTGTCCCAAATTTTTTAAGTTTCACGGCTTCAAAAATATCCCTGTACCCAAAAATAAAAAATAAAAAAACAACGGGTGGTTTGACAGTTTGCAATTGCATTTTGCAACATATTGAAAAATCATAGCAACACTCAAAAGGATTACTAACTTTTTTGAGCGGTTACTATGGGCTGGGGATAGAAAACAAAACAAGTTTACATTTAAAAATCAAATGATAGAAAAATCATTTAATAACGGGGCCAATCAGTGCAAGAATGTATTTTTCAAGGCGTTTGCACTATATTATGCTTTATATAGCAATGTCAACATCACAAAACCTCAGTAACATTACAATTCAACGCAAAAGGGTTGTAATGGAGTTAATCCAATCCATAGGGTGCTCAACCTCACGGTCATTTAGACTGAGATTCCGACAACATTCATAATCAAGAAGGGAAACGGAAAAAGCCTCTAAAACGAGTAATAAATAGAGTTTTCTTATTTCGTACCTTTATGTGTCGTTATTTCTGGACTTCTTTGGGGCTGACTTCAAGCGCTTATTTAGCCTTGGTATTAATTTTAAGGTTTACAGAGTGCGGACGGTTAAGAATTAATTAAATGCAGGTTGGAAATAGAATATGATTTTCAACAAAATATGAGTCATTTCATATATGTCCATTCCGAATGGTTTGTTTAAAGGGTAATAAAGCACCCCGAAAAAAAATCTACGCGAAATCTGGAAGTTGTTTTTAAAAAGGGTTCAAACCCTGTTTTGGGAGTTCCTTCCTTTATCAGTGTTGTGTATGCTGCAGGCGATTCATTTTTGATCTTTTGACAAAGTGACTCAGTTTGGCTTGCCCTATTTGCGCTGGACAATGAAAAAGGGCAAAACAGGAAAGACCAATTTTTGTAATCATGAAGCTTTTTGAATAGAATCCCACGTAGTTTTTCAGTGAAGAAGTCGATTTATAAAAAAGATAGTAGTATGATTCCCCCATTTAGGAGTGTGTGGGAGGCTTCAATGTCTGCCAAGAGAGGATGAAGGGGCTTTTTTATCCTCTCTTGTGTCTACTCAGTGTTGATGGGTTTAAGAGTAGGATTTAGTACTGCCATAAACTCAAATTATCTTGAAAGTAGGTCCCCTTTCCCGAAAGTAGCGATAGGAACAGGCTACAGGCGAAATTTAAAGCGAAGAGTAACGTTGTTTTTGAACTTTACGTGTATCGACCTCCGAGTGAGGACAGTATCGAACTATTTCCAGAATAGATCGCCCGCCCGGTGTTTGGGAGGTCATAGGTTCAAATCCTGTCGGGAACTCAGATTTTTTCTTTGTCCCACGTTCGTGACATGCTGATTATTTCGTCTTCACATTTGTCCACTGAGCTTAAAATTTACCATCTTTCATTCTTTCACTATTAAAAATCTCGCGCATAAACATTAAGCAAAAAAATTTGACCTTGAGGGAGAAGAACCCGAAACAACAACCTGTGGCCAAATCATCGAAAATCAACCGGAGAGAACGAAAAGAGCGGAATATTATGGGGAAAAAAAACAGTTCATGCAGTCGAATCTCTTCCTTAAATTAAGAATTGGTGCTCTTATGCACAAAATTCAATATCAAAAAACGGATACACCTCCTGCCCTCTATGACGTAGTTCAACCGGCTTTGGCTGTCCATAATTATAATACTAGGTATGCCGCTAATCAAAGCTAATCAAAACCTGTGCAGACCGTTTTCCAGAACTAATTATGGCCCAGCAAGGTTTAGTGTAGTGGCATCACAGACCTGAGAAGCAACACCTATGAAAATTAAGTGTCTCCCCTTGAACAGTTTTAAAAAAGAATATAAAACTCTTTCTACTTGACAGTCAAGCATCTTGAACAACTCTAATCTGTTATTTAGCTCTATTCATTTAATTATTTAATTTAAATAGTTTTTACCAGTACTGTATAACCTGCACCCACTTGTACCCGCTCTGTAGCAGTAGCCAACTCGAAAGCTTGGCTCCTTTGGCTGCTATACACTTTTTTCCTTTGTTATACGTTTAATTTAATGTATAGTTAGCTCTGTCTTTACTTCTTTTTTTTCGTATTGTTGTTGTATTGTAATTGAAGAAGTGTGAATAAATGAACTTGAACTTCCAACGGCTACCTCGCCACAAAGGCCATCAGTATTTCTTTGTTTTGGCGCGCTCAGTCACGGGGAGACTGGGGAGAGACATCACCAAATAAGGAAGCCGTGGGTGACGCTGGGAAGGGAAAGAGAATGGATTAAGCCGTTTCCCTCTTTGCATAGTCCAAATCGACCGAGCCATTTCATTGGAATACGAAAAAGGAGCTTCTGCATAGGGGAGAGAGGTCTCTGCCCACCGACCCCAGGCTACTTGCCCAGTTCTGTTCTTTTTTTTTTTTTTTTGCCTCATTTCGATCCTGGAAGAAAGCAAGATTCAAATCAGTTTCACGTTTTCTTGTTCTTCCACTTTTTGAACATAGTTACTTCTTACATGAAAGTTTGACAGTTCCGTTTTTGATCTAAATGAAGTTTAATAAGTTACCTTGACAGTGGGTCAAGTATTGCTTCATCTACGAAGTTTTTACCTGTCAAGAGGTATTTCAGTTTTCAACTAGCAAAGAAGCCTTTTAACATGACGTTAATTTGTTTTATTTTTCTTCTCTTGATGCATAGATTTTTTAAAAACAGTTGTTTGAACGCCTCATATTTGTGCTAGGATGACAGAGAACCCAAAACAGTTCCGTCGTTTCATAGACAGGAAAATAACAATTTTCACCTTAGGCCTCCAGAACGCTGACATAGACTCTCCACAGCTGATTAGCAAAGAAGACCTTCCACCGTTTGAAATGGTTGTCCCACCGCGTTTCTTGTTCTCCAAAATGACGTTTTTGTACCACTTGACTGACCACCTGTCAAGAGTCTATTTTAGCGACTAACTGCGCTGCAAGGGCCCATTCCGTTGCAGAGTCATCGACGAGTAATAATGGAGTGGTCATGCTCACATATCAAATTTACATAGCAATCTCAGTGGGATCAGTCGTCAGAAAAGAAGGTGCCGGCTCTGACCTGCTATGTTGACTAGTTTAATTCATCTATCTTGCAAGGTATATTGACATCATCGGCGAAATGACGGTCGAACCTCTCCTTACAGAAACCTCTCTATTCTTGACAGTTCTACTGGTCCTTAAGATACCAAACTTCATCCAACTCCTGCCTCTATAATACCGGCACCTCTATTACAGACAGTTCTATTGGTCCCAAAGACACCAAACTTAATCCAATTCTTGCCTATATAATACCGACACCTCTGTTACAGACAGTTCTATTGGTCCCAAAGACACCAGACTTAATCCAATTCTTGCCTATATAATACCGACACCTCTGTTACAGACAGTTCTATTGGTCCCAAAGACACCAAACTTAATCCAATTCTTGCCTATATAATACCGGCACCTCTATTACAGACAGTTCTATTGGTCCCAAAGACACCAGACTTCATCCAGTTCCTGCCTCCCTAATACAGACATGTCTGTAGTAGGGTCCCAAAGCTGGCAAACTCCACCCAACTTCTGCGTCTATAATACAGACTCCTCTCTGTTACAAAAAGTTCTTTTGGTACCAGAGATACCGAGCTCCATCAAATTCCGGTTATGTAATATAAACACCTGAGTAATGTGGACAATGGGACATCTAGTTCCCTGTCCCTCCGTTTCTCTGTCCCTTTACGGTCAGTATTTAAGAGGTTTCACATTCTACTCAGACGTCATTTGAGTAACTATTTGAAATTTCATTTAGAGACACGGAAGAGATGAAAGTGGGGAGTTGTTCTTTTAAGTGACAGTATGATCTTTTTCTTTTGGTTTTTCTCGTGCAGTTTCATCTATGTGTTTCTCCTGCATTTCCTTGCATCAGTAATTGTGTTGAATTAATCAATGTTTTCAGTTTACTAAGCCGGTTTACTCAGTTCTGTCCTTGTTTTCGCGTTGATAGGCGATGTTAAGCATTTCTTTGACGTTTATTATTTTTTCCCGTGGCTTTCCAAGTTCTCTCCCTCGTTCTTGTTCCACTTGATCAATTTTGTGCCACTGATCAAAAAACACAGGCCGGACACCTATAAACATCAGAGAGAGGAAGGAGATTTAATAGATAGGAAGGAACGATAACAGTTATTGAAACGGAGTGGAACTGGAACGGAATTAAATAGACAGTGAATATAATGGAATGAAATTAACTAAACAATGACCGAAATGGGAATGGCCTTAATAGACAGTGAACAGTGGAGTGGAATGGAATGAAATTAAACTGAATATAGAAAGTAAATAGAATGGAAAAGATTGGAATGAAATAGACAGTGAATGGAATCGAAAGGAACGGAATTTCCGTAAATAGGCAGTGAATGGAATGAATTGGAATAACCGCGAATGAAAGTGAATAGGACCGAAAGGAGGATGGGACGGAATGCAACGATAGAGTGATTTTCGTATGACCTTGAAATGAAAACGCGCGAACAAAACAGAAACAACAAACGAACGGGAATAGAGCGATTTCATTGGTTGATCGAACGGATACAACGCGCGTGGCTTTCGGTTGGAAGCGAACGCTCGGGTGAAAAAACTTCATGCCCGAGAACTTTCTAGAAATCAATCGATACTTCGCTTTGACGTCATACTGCAACACGATTAGCCAATCGAACAATGCCATCTCCATATCAGGGTTTTCTTTGGCGGGAAAACGAAGAGTCAATGTTTTGATCTTTTTATCCATTGACTGATAAAACAAACAACGAACACTTACCGAAGCAATCTTTCAAGGTCATACGAAAATCGCTCTATACGGCAATAAAAACATGAAGGAAAACTCACCTCTGGAGATCAACGAGTTTGCAAGAGCGTAAAATCCTTTGGGGGAACGTTTCGTCCTTACGTTACCTTTAAATAGAAAGCGGACGAGTTTCAACCTCGGCAACACTTGAGAAGACGATGGGATTTTCTCACTACCAAAGCACGGCGAACCCAACTCCTAACACCAGAGACGAGTCTTACAGCAGCAAAAGACAGGCGATATTACGGTGCAGAAGAACAGTGTGGACAAAGAAATTGTATTTTTATGCACACTTAGATATCTTAAGCCTGAGAAAACAGCGGCCTCAGCGACAGAAATTCCATACTGATGACGCGAAATCTGTCCGGAATCTGGTCAGGAGCTATTGCTATTGCTGCTCTATAGCTATTGCTTATGAGCGACAGACAAAAGACAGACGGTTACAAAGGTCAAATGTAAACGCGATGAATCTCCTACAAAAACGAATTTAGAGGAAGCATTTGAGTTTTGCTAGTGTTCGTTCGCAGAAGAACACAAAAGTTAACCAAAACTCGGCCAGGAAAAAGATAAAATCGAACAAATTTTTATACCGATACCCTAAAAGTAACTTGGGGAGCTATGATTGACGTCACGCTTATAAAACCACAGAGATCCACTCGAGTGTTGGTATTATATGGCCACTTGTCCGAGTGGCAGTTTAATTGACTGTCAAACAAAGACGCATTAGATAACAACGTCAATACTAAATAATATCTTATTTTCAGCAGGGGTGAGGGAAGGAAACTCGCCCAATGGCTAAACTAAATTATAAACGCATAGAAGGTCTTCCGACAGATGGCAAAGAGGGATGGGGGTGTGGGAAAAAGATTTTTTTTCCGCAGAGATGTAATCGCGGTGATGATGAAAGCAAAAGGGAGCAAACGCAGGAATGCATTCTATTCTACACGAACACTCCCTTAGGGCGATGAAAATGATTGGCTCTTGAAAGAGAGGTTAGGTTGACACCAGTCGGACAACTAACTATGTAAGTAACATTATGCCTTGACGTTTTTTTTGGACATTTGGAACTTCACGACTACCGGATTTATTATGTAAACATTGATTTACGTCATCAGTATGGAATTTCTGTGGCTGAGGCGCAGACGTCCCTCCCTAGTGTTAAGAAGCGAGGAGAAACGGCTGTTTTAGCAGGCTAGGATATCTTGCGCAAAAAACGAGTTAAACCACAGGCTGCTCGGAGACCGACTTAAGTCTTTAGACTTTAGATTCTTGCAACCGCTGATTGCTTTGCTCTTTGAAACAACAACTACCTCTACAACTGAGGAAACTCTTAAATGCGGAAAACATGACATACCTGTTGGATATCTGTTATGAAGTATACCGGTGGTAAATACTCTTGGTGGTACTGAGCTTAGACCGCGAGCAGTCTCTTATTTTCTTCAAAGTTATCGGTGTAGCACGCACGAGCGGAGCCGAGGCGCGAGTGAATGAGGGCGTAAGCCAGAGGAGGAGATAAAATAAGAAGCGTTTTTTGTCCCTACGCGCTCGCTGTCACTCGAAGGGTGTAAGAGAAAAGGTGGACAGTCCATACTGAGCTCATTATTATCATCATTATTTTCATCATCACCATCACCGTCACCGCAACCTTCATCGTCATCATCATCATCATCACCACCGTCATCGTCGTCGTTGTCGTCGTCGTCGTCGTCGTCGTGTCGTCGTCGTTGTCGTCATCATCATCATTTTTAACTCAGGGACTTGTCATAAATTAGCAGAGGGGGAGGGGGGGTAGAAACAGAGGGAGGGTCACAACTTTTTGAGACCGCAGAAAAGGGAGGGGTCATGAAAAATGGGCCGTCAAAAGAGGGAGGGTCATGCAAATATGTGCCCGTGATCATGTAGAGGTTCACCAACAGAAGAAAAAAGAAGTTCTTTATTTTGTAAAAAAAAAAACCTGGGAGAAATAGGAGAGTCGAGTGATCAGCTGTCAGAGTCAGAGTCGGACTCTTAATGCTGTAATCTAAAATGTATGTATATGGAATTACAAAGAACAGATTAGAGATATATCTTGAGCTTTCATAATACTGACTCACCTCAGTGTATTGCAACGACTAGATTTTATCATTTATACAAGAGGGGGAGGGTCATGATATTTTAGGCCAAGGTCAAGGGGAGGGTTAGCAAATTTCACTCCCATTGCAAGGATGGGTCACCTCATTTCCGAACCCAAATTCAAAATTCCCCCCCCCCCTCCCCCCCCCCCTGGTAATTTCTGACATGTCCCTCACCTGACTTTAAATCCTGCACAACAAGCTCCCCAGTCTGAAATGCATCATTCATCGTTGTAGCTATGACACCTACTGGACCATTTCGCACCCATCCACTACAGTAAAGTCCTAAAGAAGCAGCAGTACCATAAATTTCATAACAATTTATAAACGATACAGATTGAAGGAAGTTGATTTTCAGTTCAAAACTATACCAGCTTCAAAGGTGCAAAACTCTAATTCTTTCACGGAGGGAAGTCACTGCAAGAAAAAGCAGCTTCAAACTCAACAGTCCGCTTCAGCGGTAGGTTTTCCGCCCTTAGCACAATTTACATGTTCCAATCTTGGCAACCGTCACACATTTCCCGCCCTTGTTATTGGAAACAGAAGCATACTTTTCCCGCGTAAACACCGGTTAAATATTTTTAGGGCGTTGCCAGGGTAAGTTGTCGTACGGCGTCCAGCACAGGTTCTACGTAATACTTTTCCCTTCTCATTAATCCACTGAAATCCGGTCAATTTTGAGATTTTGCTTTTGGGTTTTGGGTAATTTTCAGAAAACAAGTCAGTCTAATTCACAGGAATGTCAGAGAAACGCCGAGAAGTGCTTATTAAGAATGAGTAACTGCACAATACGCTGCCACTTCCAAGCTGAAACCTGAAAGAGCTGGACAGGCGAATACACAGTGCAAAATCTGATACTTGGATACGAAGTGAATGCGTACTCGCTTATGCACCTCTATTCCTAGGGGTTATTTTAAAAGTGGCATAGTATTCAACAGTTGAGCCAAAAATACTTTACCTGGAATCAAAGGGGGAGCCTCATTGCATGACTCTTGACTGCCACCTTTCGAGACAAATAAGAAAAGATCAGATTTCTTTAACTGCCTTTTAATCCAACTACTTTGATAACGACTGAAAACCTTAAGAACAGGCACAAGGAATCGATTTTCCTCGCCCATTTCCCTTGTTGCTTCACCTATATAAAAACGCAGGCGACGAAAAGAAACAGCCCCCCGAGCAAACGACAACTCAACTCAGTGCATCTCCAAAACCACCAACGAGTACACAAGGAGTTGAGTTACTTCCCCGAAACTTCACAGTCAAGGAAACAGCCATTACTCTATTGTTTATCACTTCTAAGCTCACATCACCAGCAACCATAAATTTGAATAGAGTGTTGGTGTTCCTCTTTGATTAATGAACGTTCATCAAGTATGAACATTATAAAAAAGCTATTGGGAGTGGCTCTTGACAATACATGAAACTGAAAAATATTGAGGTTTTCTTGCACTACGCGCATCAGCCTTGATAATTCTCGCTATTAGACTCTGCAGCCTTGTCCAATAATATGATTAATTGTACGTGATAACTGAGTTCAAACCTGTGTTTATAACTCTGCCATTTATGTTTGGTATAACCCCCCTTCTCTTGTCAAAAGGAATTTGATCGTCGATTGGGATGCTTTTATATCCAATGCTACGAAAAACCTGCAAGAGTAAACAAAATCAACAACAGATACAGTTACCACTCTCCTGTCACCGACATATCCTCTCGTCCCTGTTGGCTCTCAAAAATCAGCCCTGAGACTTTCAATCAGTACCCTAATTTACGTATTTTATTTAAGAATATTTTAAGGCTTAAACTCGCTGCGTCTCCACGTCCAGCATCTTACCGTATATGAATGTAAGGTACAACTAGGGCATTGCCTTGATTTATAGATTGACTGACTGATTGATTAAATTAAATTTTATGACTGACTCGCGAGAGATTTAGGCAGCATTCATAGTTAGTGCCCAGGCACGGTGCCCGAGTACAGTACTCACTGGGCACTAATGTGAACGCAACATTTTTTCGAGTACCCACGCTAGAATTCGGGCACAGTGCGGGTGCCCGAGTACAAGGTCTCAACTCTGTACTCGGGCACAAAAGTGGGCACCGGGTCCCTGTGTGCACACAATTTTTTGTTCTCGCTGCTAAGCTTATGTTTCAAAATTGCGTCTGACAGGCCGAAATAGAGTAACTATGTAGACAGTCTCAAATCGGGTACTCAAAGTGTGAACACAACACCATTTTGTGCTGGTACCCAGCACCAAGTGTTGACAGCCCCTTAGAGACGGAAAGTCTATCTGATCAATTGATCAGACTAGATTATGTTATGTTAACTATTGTAATCCATAATTTCTTCACTGCATACAAAATAATAACACAGACACAAGATAGCAGCGGGAAGGGACTAGAAGGGAGTAGAGGAACCATACGGGTTAGTCTACCCAATTTAAAAATAAGTTACTTTGTAAAAAAGAAACAAAAAGAAATTGTCAGCAAATATAACACACATAAATTGTTAATCACAAGTAACATGTGGGCGATCAATGATCAAAGCCCATTATCTTATTCTTATAAAATCTCTGCAATGTTTTTTGAAGCAGGACAGGATATGTTATGTTACGTTACGTTACGTTATGTTATGTTATGTTACGTTATGTTATGTTATATCTTAACTCTCTTCCCTGGACAGCTGAGGTCACTAGTTAAAGTAGCCTGGGACTCACCAGCCCACAGGGCAAGTCCTCATATACACCAGTGCCTCTTGCTTGAATTGATCCATCATTTTGCTGTAGTGATGACAAACAAAACGTAAGTTATTTGTTTCTCATCATAGCCTCGAAAAAGAGATCTTTACTTTATGGCACTGGCTGGGATAAGTCTACTGAACTGCAGACCATTGTATCATTGTAGGGTTTCTGGTCTCTACCGTTGTGTGTAAATTTGGAAAACTTAAATAAAAGTGATCTTTACGTTTTGAAGAAAAACTACATTTGTGTATTTTGCAACCCAAGAGCAATGTTCTTGAACAGCAAATTACTTCTGGATGGAAAAGCAACATGCTCACAAAAGGTGTTTATTACTTTGTTTTGCTTTTAATAGTGTGAAAAGACTTTCATTCAAATATATCTTACTGAATAGCCCCATTTTTATATTTTAAATTCAGCCTTCAAATGTTCAACAAAACTCAGCACAAGCCTCTCAAGAATTAACCATCATAAAGGTTTCGGGTTTATTCTTCAAAGCTCCACAGGCATGTTTATTGTTTTAGGATGAACCCTGCCTCCTCCTCAATCACTTGGTTTTTTGCACAGAGGCTACACGAAACATGAGTGACAGGTGAGTGACTGGTCGAGAGAGAGACATCTGGGTATGAAGCAGGGCCTAAAATAGGCTATTTACAACAAAAACATTGTGTTTTTGTGCATAAATTATCTCGGACCCATTTAACGGATTTGCTTGACAGTAACTATGTTTTTTTCCTCCAAAAGTCTGCTCATTAAAGTCAGCCCTGACATTAAAACTGTCACAAGCGGTAGTTTGAATGTGTTATATCACAAATGTGAAACCGCCAATTATTATTTAATTACATGTATTCAAAGGAAAATAATTATAAATTAAAGCTCTAGGAAAATCCCCCCTAACCTGAGAAAACAGCCAACATTTCGCGACACCAGCACTTGTTTCCCCGCTAAATGAAGTCTGAGAATTAAAACTACCCAGATCTGGGTAGTGATGTGTCATCAGTATGGAATTTCTGTGCTCATTTCTCAGACGTCATTTTGCAGGGAAACCAGTGGTGGCGTCGCCAAATGTTAGCTGTTTTCTCAGGCTGCAAGTCCCCCATTGCACACTTGTCATTTAATAATAGAATGTTCAGCAAAAACATACCTCCACTAAATCATTGATTTCAAATCTGACTCCAGATAGTTTTGCTCTGCCTGGTGCTGACAACATCTCAACTGGACTCCTTTGAAATTTTAATGTCCACTCCTTATTAGCAGTCTTCTGTGAAATGCTCTCATCCCTTCCATTAATGAAACAAATATAAATTTATACAATGTCATAAGACTTTGTCAAAGAAATAGAAAGAAAAACGGTCTCCCAAAAATCAAAAAATGTGGCTATGGTCTTCTTTTGGTCATGTGATTCCCACAAAGCTTAGTGTGTCCCACGATTCGCAGCTATAAGTTGGGTATTTGTCTAGTCTGTCAAAAAAAGAAACAAAGAATCAACCTAGGCTAAAAAATTTCAACCTGAATTAATTTTGACCTGTAACATGTACTGTATCCTAAAAGTCTGGTGTACTTGTACTTGAATTCCAACCCTGCTTGCCATTAGTGTTCCAGTAGCTCAGTGGTTGGAGTGTCCGAACTACATGTAGAACTTGGAGGGTCGTGAGTTTGATTCTCACTGGGAGCTCGGAAAATTTTTCTGAGCTTTCTGGTGTTTGAATTCTCCTTCTTCTTTAATTGAAAGTGTATGTGGATAACATGGCATGTGTTGTATGGTTGAAGTCAGTTTTATCCCCAACCTCAAGTTCATTTTGTGGAAACCACCCAAAATGAGACTTTTCATGACTGTAAAAAAGAATGGTGACACAGAGGTTGTTTTGAGCTGAAGAGTTTCACAATGTGATAATAAAGAGGCAAACTTACAGTGCTGTCTTGGACATCAGTTCAGTGAGTCTTTTCCGGGGTCGTGGAATGCCTATATTAAACAAGAATCAATCTACATAAAACAGATTAAGTGTTAAGTCCATGGTTTATGGTAGGACTAAATTCATGCACAAAAACCCTTAGGATGTAACTGGGGCTTGCGATAACACTATGCTATGTGATGCTTTGGGATTGTTAATTCACTTAAACATTCTTGATTTTACACATAGACCTGCTTTCCTGCGCTAAACATTGCTCTGTATTTTTTTTGCCATTTTCCGCTTTTTTCTCCTAGCAAAAGCGTGGTCAGAATTCTTTGCCTTTCTTTGTTTAAAGTAAAAACAAAAGAAACCTAATGAACCAGAAAACATCTAAGTTTATCAGGGAAAGGAATTTATTAATTACCCTTACCCTTTTTCAACTCTCTACTTAAAAAAATCATTTCAATATGTGCACACCTAACTATGAACGCACATGATCTTTTTTGTTTTTACAGTTGTCAGTTATCTCCTGGCTCCCAGTTATCAGTGTGCAAAAAAAAAATTGTGTCCAGTAGCCTGGGACTAATTGTTTTTGTTAACTGGTTAGTAAATTGTGCCCTTAACTTGATGGGCAAGTGAATTTTTGTTAATTAAAATGGCTCTTTAGTATGATCTTGGACAAAAATGTCAAGAAAAATGGATGTTAAGATAAAGCTATTGAAAGCACTGGCAACTACAAATACTACCCACTTCCCCCCCAAAAAAAAACAATAGGGCCATTTATATGATGAAAAATAAGACACTTCTTAAATAAGACACGAACTGTACCATTTGTCTTAGCTAAGCCATTTTCTTTTAGACGAAATGTGCCGTTTATATTGTTTATACAGAATGTTCGCGTCTTATTTAAGACGCGTCTTATTTTTCCTCGTATAAATGGCCCTAATGTATAAGTCCAGGTGGATCATTTCTGACCTCAACTAAACAACTTTGACCAGGGTGGGGCGAGGGGAGGGGCCATAGTAGTACCAAATCCGGGGGATACGCATTCTGTGGGTAAGAAAGTGCAAAATTCCTAACACTTTTTGTCCAAGATGGTAGCTACAGCCTGCCCAAATGGCAAGCTGTAAAACTGACTTTCTTTGCACCCTGAGTAATGCCAACTGTTGGGAAGCTTTTTTTAGAAGGAGGACAGACACAACTGAGCAAAGTGGTAAATATAAGATAGACTCGACCTGATCAGCTTTTTTTTATACTCACTTACTTGTAATCTTTTCTTGTATTGGTTTGAAATCTTCTGGATCAAACACAGCTTTACAGCCAATTAATTTTGTCATTTCACGTAACTCTTTGATGGTAAATGCTACCTAGACAAATATAACATTATATTATTTAAGAGGCATATGAAAATCAAAAATAGATACAGCAACTTCAAAGAACATGCAATTCACTAATTTCTAGTGCAGTAGAATGTAGCAATATTATATGCATACAATATCTTTGGATAAGTGTCTGGATAATCAAATTTGCAGTTTTTTAATTTCAAGGGCAACCAAAGGAATCATTCTGGTCCATTAAATAGCCTGAAGACAAGCTCTCCATTGTTTTGGTAAGTGCTAAAGCAGAAAGGTCTGTAAATGCTGCTCTCATTCTCCACAAAATTGTCTCCTGAATAATAAACTGAAGTCTGGTCTCAGTCAACTGAATGATCCACAGTGTTTTTGCAGTTTCAAAGGATAGAATTCTTTCCATGCCTGTTTCAGTAATACATTAAAGCAGTAAAGTGCCATGCATTAGAACACTTTTGAATCCTAAACATTAATTCCTCATAGGATACCTAACTAATAGTTGTCACCATTTCATCAAATGCCACCATTAGATATACAGGCTGGTAACATAGAGTCGAACCTCTCCACAACAGCCCCTTTGGGGATGGAGGAAAGTGGTTGATGTGGAAATGTGGCCATTATGGGGAAGTAGAGGGTGTAATATGGCAATTTTCTTAAGGGGAGTACAACGTGTTTATTGTGCCAAGTTCATGCCTACTTTGTGCCATAATGGTAATCCAATCACACGCACACACACAAAACTTAAATAATGTTTTGAATCAAAATGTTAACATGACAAAATGAAAAGGGGTTCACAACATCTGTTATAAGCATTGTAGACAATTGCTTATGATGCTTACTGCATCAGAATGAATGAAACACAATCAAATAAAATTGCCGTGATTAATCATCAATGTGTCATATGGATCAAATTTCGCCACCATTCCTGACTTTTTTGTCAGTTGGTGAAAAAAAAAGTGGCCGTTGTTGAGAAGTTATTTTGGCAGATTGGGGACACAGTTTAGTGGCTGTTGCCGTTGTGGAGAGGTGGCCGTTGTTGAGGGGTTTAAACAAGAGCCAATGTATGAACTGCCCACCGAAAAAAAGAGGCCATTGTAGAGCATGACTGTTACCAGAGGTTCAACTATTGCAGGCTGGGCGCACGCTACTTGTGTACACGGCTAAGAATCTCACATCGTTTATGAACTTATTAAAACTCAGATCGCATCGATATTTGGCAAGAAGTTAAAGTTTTTAAACAGCTTTCCATTGAATATTTTTTTTCTGGCTGTAAGACCAAAATAAAATTAAAATATGAAAAATATGGCTCAAAATGGGACCATTTTTTAACAGCTCGCATAACATTTACAGTCTAACCACGCATATTGTGGGATTTCTCTATTTCTGTTAATGGTACTTTGGAAAAATTTCTCCACAGAGGTCAGTAACTTATGAGTACTAACTATATTAAAAGTTACTGAACATAATGGCAAAACAACAAAGTTTAGGGCGTTTTCCGAAAGATGTTCTGTCTACATCCGATCTCTGTGCAGTGCGAACGTCAATTTAAAAGGTTGCTTTTGATTGACTTTCTTTTGTTGTTAAGAGAAGAAATGATAATTTTTGGAATGCTCATAAGTTAAACCTTCCTTATAGACTAACTGTTAAGACTTCGGGAAACCCATTTTTATGCTAAGATCAAATATCTAAGGTTAGACAGCATTTTTTAAACGTGAAAATTCGTAAACCGTGCGTTGGACTGAAAATCGGATTCTAGAATGTGCTTTGGCACAAAGGTTTTGTGCCTAAAATGTGCCTAGGATGTGCATAAAGTGTGCATTTTAGTTTTGAAAAACGTGCCTAAGCCGTGCCTAAGTTGTGCCCAAACTGTGCCTAATCTGTGCACAAGCTGTGCCAAACTATTGAGTCACTCGGAAAATCGTGTCCAGCCTATCTCCACAGTGAAAGAAAAGTGTGCACGGCAATTATGTAAGTTTAAGATTTACGAAATCTAGAAACACGGTCTGACGACCTTTTTATCCCCTAATAAGAAATAACATGACTCAGAATACGGTCAGAGACAGCAGGGAAAGCCCCGACAAACAGGAAAATGGAATCTTAAACAGGTTAGCGTATTTAACATAAGTGCTCAGCTCAATTACGTGTTGATATAATTTCATCGATTCAAGTATTTCACTGATGTTAAAAAATTTCCAAGTGGGCTTCTTCTCCCCGTCTTAACGGAGCATTTAGTTGGGATGAAATATTTGTTTTTTCAGGAGGGCAGATTTGCATTCAAAAGAAGAATTTGCTTGTGATATGACTTACAAAATGAAAACGAAAAAAATGATTGCACGCCGATGAGTTTTGAAGCAAAATTGGCACGTCTCATTGATTATTATACGATCAAAGCTTAATTTGCTAACAGAGCCAGAAAACAAAAACAAACAAGCAGCTTGAATTATTTTACTACTAAGTGTAAATTCTACTTTTTTAGTTAGAAAAAATATTTTTAAAAAGCAGCTGCATTTTGTACCAAAAAACAACAGGCGTTGGCATGAAGGTTTCAAATTACCACTTTTCATGTTGTTATGCAAATTCAGGCCAATTTTACCGCGATCGCAAAAAGTATTTCTACGACTTTTATTGGCTATTTTTGTGCCTTACTTCTTTAGCTTTGTTTTTGTTATTATGGCTTCGACTTTCTTTCACGATTTCTTTTAGAAACGAAAGAAAGCCAGTCTATAAAATTGCATGGCAATCGAAAAGGTTCAGACCACACATATCGCGTGTGAATTTCCACTTTATCCTCGAAGAAAACACGGACTGTCAAAGAATACTTTAATTTTCCCGACTTTTGGCGCGGCTCAAAACTTACACTTCCTATACTTCTAACTGCATCGTGTTTGATCTGAATTATTTTCATAATTTGTACCAAGTCTGTTCTTTTTTGCAAGTTGGGTTACAAAGATTTTCAAAAAAGTGCCCAGCGTTGAATATTTGTGCCTTAACCGTGCCAAAACTGTGCCCAAAACTGTGCCTAAAATGTGCCTTAGCAATATTTAAAACGTGCCTTAACTGTGCCTAAAGTGTGCCTAATCTGTGCCTTTACATGTTTTTTTCCCGTGCTTTGGCACAAAAACCGTGCCTTTTCTTGAGCGCGAATCGTGCATAAGGCACAGTGTTACGCTCGTGTACACCAGTAGCGTGCGCCAAGCCTGCATATCTCACCTGTAATGGCCCTCTTCTGCCTACAATATGAACTGTTTTCACACAGCTTTTCCTCAGTCTTTCTATGGCATGTTCACATATGTCTGTTTTCTGCATCATTAAGGAACAAAAAGATAAAAGAACTTTATGATCATGATAACTTTAACAGGCACGGCTAAAGGCTGCTCAGGCCTAATTGCCAATATTTTTACAGACTGGGGAAAAAAAGGAATAATAACATGGAAAAAAAAAACATGCACCTATCTGTCTGTCAGTTTGATTGTTCAACTGATTGTCTGGAGTGTCTGTCTGCCAGTCTGTCTGTCTGCCGGTCTGTCGGTCTTTCTGTCTGTACATCTGATTGGCTATCTATCTTTCTGTCACTCTGTCCGTGTATTTAGTGAGTTCTGAATTAATTACCTCCAAACGTTCAACAGGACTGAGCAAGATCCTGGCAACATCAAGGGCAACATTTCCTTGTCCAAGTATTACTGCTGTCTCGGCACTCAAGTCTGGCTCTAGCTAACAACAAACATGTTATGTGTACAATTAAATCAAATAGAAGTGTCGCATTTATTTCCTTGTTCACTTACAGTAGTTCTAGCTAGTGACCCTCAAACACACCAATATCCATCTTTGGAAACCCAAGGTCCACAAATCAGGACAAAACATTTAAGGGAAAATAACCACAGGTAAGCCACTTAACGTGACGAACAAGAATGCCCCTGGCACTTAATATTAGTCAACATTTTCTTGAAACATCCGAATTAATTTCCACTCTTTCTATTTGAGGGAACTTTTTTTCTGAGCCAATCAGAAGTAAGAAATCTTTTAAAATGCACTTGGAATTGGTTTGGTAACAGCATGTGCCCAACAAGGCTCTCACATTCTTCTTAAAAAATTTTGCAGCAACAATATCCTGAAAGTTTAAAAAAAAACCCCTTGGCCTTGATGGATGACGTAAAATTAGTCAAGTTACCAAAATACTATAGATAGTCCTAGATAATAAGCTACTGTCGCAAACTAAACATATGAAGTCACACTACAAAAAAAATTAAATCAAAGATGTAAAACATTAAAAATATTGTGTGTGGCATGATATCCATTACAGAAAAAAACACCGTACTTGAGAATTAGCAGGTAGTCCATTATACCACTCTACAAATGCTCTTGCTGAATATACCCCATGTAAGTCCTGAAACATAATGATATTATTAACAACCAAAAATTCTTAGCCAACTAACAGACTAACCAACCCACCAATTGAATGAAAGACTCGTTGACTGACTGACTGACAGTTGGCTAGTTAGTCAGTCAGTTGAAAATCTGTTGTTCTGCTTCGACAAAGGGTTCATGCTTAAAACATCAGTCTTTCAATCTTTTTTACACTGATATCCTTTTTATCTACTCAGTTGACTCACTCTTTAACTGATATAGTACCACAATAATCCAGTGACTGACTGACACCCAGACCATCCACTTACTAACAGATTGACCAGCCTTGACTGACTGACTGACTGAATGACTCTTTGAGTGACAGATTGACTCACTGACTCACCACCCTGCTAACTGACTGACTGACTGATGACTATCAGAAAGTTTAGTGACTCACTGATTGACCCACTCACTCACTGACTCAACAATGAAAATGCACCACTTTTTTTATTACAAATAACATTTCCATTTCCATTGTCAAAGCTGTTTTATTATTTTTATCTAAACTACACAACTGCTACATACTGAAAAACTGTCTAACAGTAAAAAAAGGCAAAATGACCCAAGTCAATCCAAATGATTAGACAGACTGGACAGCCTAAATTATATTATTACAGGGTTCTCCTGAAAATTTCCAGTTGAAGGTAAAAACTGAGAAAATTCAAATTTGAGGGCTCATTGGAAAGTGCACCTCAATACATGTACATGTACATTTTGAATAACCTGGAAAACATTTTGCATCATTTTCTACCATATGTTTGCCATCACACTGAATGAAACAATTTATTATGACACTTTAAAAATTAGGTGGGTTCACACCAGACCCCTAAGTGCACTTGAAGTACACTTCAGTTCAAGTGTTCTTGGAAACCACTTGAAGTGCACTTAGGTTTTTTGCAAGAAATGGAGTTCACACTCAAGTCAAAGTTAACAGTTTTGGAGGGAACTAATCTTGCTCTACACAGGAAAACGCTGCCTTGCATTTATTTAGTCAAAACGTCTCCATATACAGGAGCTGTAGACAACAGCAGTCATCTTGAACAGTACCAAAACAAAAGGATAAAAATGCAACCGATGGTTTCATCTTATTAGGTAAATCAAAGTAGAGGAAACCTTCTTTGATCTTTTTAAAGCCATCCTCGCCAATCTTTTGAGCTCATTGCTTCAAGTTTTTAAAATCATATTCCAGATGTTGTATTCTTTTCTTAAACAGCTTAGGTAAGGTTCTGACACTTTCAACAAACCTTAGTACTGCAGGTAGACATGTAAAACTGGTTTGGACGGGTTGAAAAAATAAACAATAAAGTGCATTCAATGAATCACAAAATGGGGAAATATCCCTATTTGTGGAATATATGTCATTTTGTTTCCAGGGCCAAGTATTGTATTAACAATGTGTCTGTCAAATCAAAAGCCTGGAGAAAACATGAAATTTCCAAACCAGCTCATGGATCAGAACTGAAAAAACCTACCAATATTTTGTGGAGATCACTGAGTATTCTCATTCATCATTTCTTGCTTGACCACGCGAGAGAGTTAAGTTGTGGCTCGAGATGATTGACACTTTGATCATAAGATTCCGACGCTTTGATTGGATAAGTGCAGTCTCAAGGAAGGTTTTGACCTTTCTTGAGATTGCACTTCAGCACTTTGAGACTTTGAGGTTTCTGTGGCAACTAAGTACAACTAGTCAAGTGAAACAAGACCCGTTCACACACAAGTTAGTATCAAGTGCACTTCAAAATAATGCACTTCAAGTGCACTCGACAAGACCAGTGTGAACCCACCTATTATTATCTTTTGAGTAGCCCACACTGCTGTTTGACTAGATGGTGAATCTCACCATTCACTGGTGCTTCCAGAGAACCCTGTCAATCATTAGTAAATTTTATCTTCGTTTTACACATGTACCTCACCAGGTATTCCAAATGTTCTATCATCTTCTGCACCATAACACTAAATAAAACAAAGCAAATGAATCTACCTGTGAGAAATGCAGTAGCCAACTTTCTGTATAAAAGTTGAATCAAACTCAGATGGTTGAAGAAACTTTCTTTCACAACTACTGTCCAATGACAGAAATAAAAATTTATACAACCACAACAATGAAGACAGTCCTAACTTGTATCACATAGCCCCAGTATGTGTACACACCTTTAGACTGTTCACAGACCCTTTTTTTTTTTTTTCGTAAGATCATCAGGATCAAGCGCTTACCGATATGCACATCCATCATGGTTTCATATATGTAATGAGGGGGGAGGAGTTAGGGTTTAAAGCAGTGAAAGGGAGAAGGAAAAGAAAGTTGAGCACAACATGTCAATTGACCCAAGTTCTAATGTCAAGGATTGCAGATCCCAATAATATTAAGTCTGTACTACACTCACCAAAATAACTGCATCATAGGCTTGTAACAACTCTGAAATATTCAAATCTTTCCCAATGTTTACATTTCCAAAAAATGAACATCTCTCAGACTGGGCTGTAGATGAGAACTGATTTATGCAGTTCTGCAATAAATTGACAAGCAACTAGTTACAATAAACAATGAGTTACAATCCAGAATGCAGTTAATTTTCTTGCATCCTCTATCATCTACATGAAAGCTTTGAATATGAAGTACACTGTAATTTGGGGGTGGACTATTATATAAAGAACACTTTTGACCAGTCTATGTAGCTCTTAAATTGCAGTAGGATGTCTCTACTTTTGGTAACAAGACAAGAAAATAGAGAAAATATAAAAAAAATGTTAACATCTATGCAAAAAGAAGTGGCACATGACTTATATGCACAGTACTTGTTGCAAGGCAAAATACCAGTATAGTACCGCAATACCGAGTTTTCCAGAAATTCCAATGATTTAGATATACACGACTAATTTTATGGCTGTATTGGCAATATCATTACCAGAAACAGCAAACAATGATGAAATGAATTCCTTTTGGCATTTAGATTCTTTAGATTAATTTTTATATGGTCCATTCCCAGATGTAAGTCAAGAATAAGGATTACTTTGCAACCTCCCAAAGACAGGCAGCCATACTGTCTGTAGAGTCCCTTAGTTTATAAAATTGAAGATATTTCACCCAGCATTTTACTGTACATCTAAACTTGTCAGCTACATGAAGAGTGGGGAGAATTTCAGAATATTATTTTGAAGTCTAGGCACTGCACAGGGACAAGTTTGCAATTCAACTCATTGGAACAAAAAAAGTTTGCTAACTATTCCCTGATTTTTCCATGCTGTCTGGATGATTTTCACTCTCATTTTACATTTTCATTGCAGTGAATACTTTTTGTCATCAATCTCTTCACATTATTTTTATCAAGGAATCTATTTCAATATTCCTTACCAGTATTCTGCATAAATTTTCTGAATCAAACTCTCTTCAGTACTTTTCACAAAACTTTGTTGCAAAATTCTCTGATATAGAGAGAAGTCATTATGTCATGTTGCTATGGTAGCAAAATTTCTGGATGACAACAAACCGAAAATGTCACTCAAAAAGTGAAGTCACACTGTTTCAAACTTCAGTGACCTTGTTCAGTTTCATTTGATTTGTCAAATGTCAGCAAAATTTTCTGGGGTTAAATCCAAAATCTGAAAGGACCGTATCTAAGTTTAGAAAAAGAAAAAGGAAATTGTTGTGCTCCTTTAAGGTGGAGCATGAAATTAGGAAGTTTCAAGTCGCGGTCATGCAATCACGGCTAAGAAGTGTACAGAAAACTGTGATGCACATGCAAAGTTATTGTTTTGCTAATATAAATCTGTTACTTTTTTTGCCATTCTCACCATCGCCATCATTGTTGCTTAACCTTCCTTTTGTGCTAAAATGGTAACATGACACCACACTGCTCCTCTCTATTCACTATAAACGACTTTGTCAAGACGGTTTTCCATGACTTTGCAAAATTCCTTGACCTTGAAATTTTTTCCCCTGCCTTTTCTATTCCCATGTCACTGAACCATGAGGTTGATTCACCTCACAATGTTCTACAGTGTACATAAATGAACAAGCTTGCTGTAAAGTTGTACCTTTGTTTCAGGATGATCAGGAGCAATTCCAAATCTTGCTAAGCCAAACGGAACAGGAAGGCGTTCATATATGTCAATCAAAGCATCATCATGGGACTGCAGATAATAAAAGGCACTTACTTTACTATTATTTCCCTTATATGGTTACATACATACAGTCATTCATACAACCTTTATTTATACACGATATTAATTCAAAGCTACAAGCTTGTGGGGTCATGTGCAAAAATTACAAATAATTAACAATTATTGGAAGGGGTTGAGCAAAATATCATGACTAGTCTGTGGCAAGCAGATCAATTATTTGCCGAAGCCAAAGGCTGAGGCAAATAATTGATCAGCGAGGCACTGACAAATCACGATATTTTGCAATAACCGAGTTCAATAATTGTTTTATCATTCACCGAGTTTGTTTTTTTAATGAATATCCTCGGGAAACGAAGTGATCTGCCATTTTTCACGCAAGAACGATCGCACGAAGGAGAAAAGCACGGTTTCCTTTACGCATGTGCAGAATATTATTTGCAGCCAAACACAGTTGGACAGCATTACGCATGAGCAGACCATTATTATTTTGTAGATAGTTATTTGCAGGTGACGTGGTGGGCTCTCGGCCAATGAAGAGAAAGAAAAATTTGCTTCGAATGACAAAATAAAATATTAAAAGTTATTACTACTAGGGAATAAATATGGTTAAATATGGTTGATAACTAAAAAGTAAAGTGGCTACCATTAGTGCAAAGGTAAAGCCTGCACTCGAGCCAAGAGGGCCGTCAGGCTGAAACTCCTGTTTTTTGGTGTGAAGCAACTAGAGATATTTCTACCCCCCCCCCCCCCCCCCCCCCCTTATTATAACTAGGGAATAAATATGGTTAAAATGGTGTTAAAAAAAAAAAATAAATGGGGTACACTTATGGCAAAGGGAAAGCCCCCCCCCAGGCCAAAGGGCGCGTTGGGGGAAAACCCCTTTTTTTGTTGTGGAAGAAAAAGAGATATTTCTTCCCCCCCCCCCCCCCACAGAAAAGATGCTAGTTTATCACAGGGTTATCCCAGCATTAAATTCACCGCAACCCATTTGTTACGTGCAGTTTAGATTTTTCACATTCAATTGCCTTTTTCCTTGCAACACATTATATTCAAGGAATATATTTTCTGATGTTTATGGTTTTCTGAGACTCACAGTGTCTTGCTGAGAACACAATTAACCTAATTTAATATCCTGGCAAGGCCTGAAGCAGTACCTATACCAACCAACTTTTCCTGAGTCAAAGCCAGGTGATTTTCATTTCCATATAAGCTGAGTTTCTCGACAACTTCTGAACAGTGCTGAAGACATGCCCTTGCCCCTGAGCAATACTAAAGAAAGTTTATTTTTAAAGATGTTCTGATGATTTCCTAAAGTTGCCGAATGTAGCAAAGCAAAGTGCCAAATATTACATGGTGCCATCTTGCTGAAATTATCAATACATCAATAGGTATCATGAGATCTTGCCAAGATCAAGCCTTTTACTGGACTTTTTTTTAAAATTTTCATGTTAATGGTTGTTGTCCAGAATTGTGAATTATGCATGTGAATTTTAATGCATGCATGCCCTTTGTCATGAGTCTCTCGATTTCACCGCCTATCCCACGCTCTCACGAGTTGGTAACTGATTTCTCATACTTTCTCATATAGTCAAACTCCAAAAAAATCTTGGAGTTGTAGGCTTTGTTTCCAAGTTAGATATCAATAGATAGCCAGCTCAACCCAAAGAAAATGCTTAGCGGTTGCATTTGATTTCATTCTTTTAGCCTACCCCGACTTGCTGCTGCCACCAAATGTGCAGACTTACCTGTTTCCCCTGTTTCAAGATGGCCACTGACAAAACATAGAAACCACAAAACCTAAATCATAAAATAATCATGATGTTTACAGCTCCAGCTTTAAAGTGATGTGTGCCTTCTAATACCCATAATCTCCACTGTAAGTCCTACCACTAGGAAATTAGCCTGTGAACAGGCCTTTAGTGGAGCGGGGTGGGGAGAGGGAAAAGCGAAAAGGCCTGTAGACAAACATTTGGGGCCTCCGTTCCACGGTACCCGCTGTGCATAAGATCCTGATGCAAGCTCCTATTGGCGAGAACACTGACTGTTGACAGGTCTGATTGACATCGGCTGTTCGGTCGGCACATAGCACGCGATTTGATCACAGAGTGGCAATAACAAAACAGTCCAAAGACTATTACCACGGGGACGAACTACGCGCTCCGGTCAAAAGACTCAAACTGTCTTTAAAAAAACACTAAGCTGGAGTTTATAGTTACCGAAGCACAATGCAATTCTCCAGACCTGATGTAGCTTTGGTTTAAGCTGCACTTCAATCTTATAATTTTTGATCTGTAAATCACTATCCGTGATAATTTTTAAGCATTCTGCAAAGAAAACTAACGAGCTGGGCCCAGCGTCAGGATACAACATTGCAGAAAAACATTACATTCACGGTGGACTAAAGAAAATTGCTTAGTTATTCAGATCGAGAAGGCACTTTGGAGAAAAGTAAGACCCTTATCCAGCCGCAGTAAAAAGCTTTATGCTTCAAAAGAGGTCCAAAAAAATGCTCTTGCATTAGAGAGCAAATCCTGTCGACCACCACAGTAAATCAATGTATGTGTGCCATGACCTCTCCGTGTGAAACATGGGGTTAAAATCACATTAATGCAGAACCTTCCAGAGAAAAATCTACCCCGCAGAGGAAAAAACTTATGGGAACAAGCAGCATTTTGGCATAAAGTAAAAGTCGTGTCAGCCTACCACCCCCTTTTATTGCTATAAACACCCGAAGGTGTTCCTGTCGGCGATCGAAGCGCTGCTGATCTCTTTGTACTTGTCTTCGAAGCTTCACGTTCTGGAGAAGTCATGATAGTATCTGGACCTTCCGCATTCCAAGTTTGCTCATTGCAGCGGCTTGTTAAATTACAAACCGAACTAGCGAGACGAACGGCTTATTAATTCTCTTAGCGGCAATCAACGACTTTTTGCACGTGCTCCATTTCACTCTCTTTTTAGACGGAGCAAAACACCACTCATTTCCTGTTAATTTTCCCAGGAGTTACTCACGCGCGAAATTGATTGACCGATAACGACATTACTGACAGATGATCGGCAGGATAATTACAAGAGGGCGGAATAGCGGCCTCAAATGTTTGTCTACAGGCTCTCTCCCCCCCTTTCCCTTCCCTTTCCTCGCTATTTTTCCCCAAACAGAGAGCCTGTTCACAGGCTACTACGAAATTTTGGACATCTCACGACTTCTTACCCATTTTTCACTACTTTTCCAAGCTCTAGGTTCAGAATCTCACTTTTCTTGCCTTTTGGGGGTTGGTCTGATGTGGATCAACATTTTCAATTTGCAGGTGTGGAACAAACACATCATGGGTGTGAGTTGGCAGGAACATCACTTGATACGGAGTCCAGGGCCCAGTTGTTCAAAAGCTGGATGGTGCTATTCACTGGATAAGTATTAGAGAAACCAGTTGCATTATCTCCTGGATAGAGATTTATCCTGTGGATAGCACTATTTATCTTTGGAACAACTGGGGCCAGAGCTCTAACCACTAAGCCACAGTGCCTCCCAAAGTGCTTTAGTGTGACCTGAATATAAATATGCATGTGCACTGTTTTTTTTTTTATTTTTCATTTAAATTTTATTTTGATTTTTTGTTTGTCTTTTCAAAATTATGCTAGGCCGTTCTAGTCATACCAAAAATTTACTCTGGTTAAATGGGCCAAACTCAACTTTCATAGGAGGGCCTGGCTAGACAGCTGCTCACTTTAGAACTACTGACCTTCAAAATTTGTTGCGCAGTGTAAAATCCTGCAGGACCACTACCCACAATACCAATATGAGGCCTGTCTGACTCTGCTGTCATACAATTAAGCTTGCGTGAAACTGTTAGCCATCTAAAGACAGCCCTTCCCAGAGGAGGAGATCTACAGTGAACTAGGAAGAGTTTGGAAGCAAGGCACCTTCCAAGAGCGATCCACATTTTATAAGTGACTTCAACTTGTTTAAGATCTTTATATCGACCTAAACAGACCAGGGGAATAAATCTCTTCTGAAGTAAACGGCGATTACACATACATTTCTAAAGGAACAAACTGTGAGTACTGTGAGAGTGAAGCAAGCGGGAACACAAAATGAGCCCGCGATAGAAGTGATGTTGAACAGCAATCTACGACTACCAAAAGATATATACTTCATGTAAGTTCTAACTCGAGTAATAGATCACAAAAATGGCGGAGGCAAGCGGTGGTGAAGAAGTGACTACTAATTCTGATGATAGAATTGCAAAATCAGATGACACAGAATCACATCAAGAGAAACCCACTTGTATTTTGTGCCTTGGTATGGCTGGATCAGGAAAAACAACATTTGTGCAGGTATTTTTAAAGTTCTAGGTTCCTGGCCTATTCTACTTCTAGTTTTATGACTGCTGCTTGTGAATGTTAACGTTTACCATATTGCCACGTGCTTTAATGCTTTATGAAATATTCCGAAGCGCGGATCTAGGATAAATACTGACCGATTTCCTAAACGATCGCCGAAGGCGAAAGCCTCTAATATAAGGGGGTCAGGGGGCATGCTTCCATGGCAATTTTTTTAAGTTTTAAGTCCCCTTTCCTTTCCAGAAAGGCTATTGGCCAGTTCCATTCTACTCGGATGAAGCCTTGCAAATCGGCGAACTATTTCATTCTTGATTTCAACTTGAAAAGTTGTTGTGGGTAACAAGAGGAACCTGCAATCCTAATTTCCAGGTTGTTATTATGCATGCATTGCATGTATGAAGCCAGCATCTGTTTGGACTTCCAGTAAGAATGTATGGAATGCACACAACACAATTTGATCACTGGCGTTTGACCTTCTGTTACTCGTAATCTGATCACGCAAATTTGATCATGTGCCTTTTTGACCATCTGTCACGTGGAACTTTCGCAAAGCACAGCGCTGGAACAAAAGCGTTTTGACCTTCAATCATTGTCACCAGCACTAACTAAAGTAATAACCTTGGTTATTACTAGTATATATATGTTGTAGTTAATTTTTTATCTCAGGTAATTTTTATTTTTCCTTTTGTTTAATCTTCATTAGCATACATTAACCTACCCGAAAACAAAAGAAATAAAAAATAACTTGAGATAAAAAATTAACTGCAACATATATATATGTATAAAGGATGCGGACAAAACTTTGAGGGTTCAGATTCCTGTCATCTGAGGGGGTGCGGATAAAAAAAATGGAATGTCCCTTGAAGGAGGTTGATATTTTGGATTGAAAGCCTTTGCAGTTACCTCAGAAATCTGCCACTTCATAGCCTTCAAGCAATAACAGCAAAAAAAAAAAAAATTATTTACTTTTGCTCAAATTAAACAAGAAGTTCCCTTGCTGCAATTTCAGTAAAAAAAAAAATTGGCGGGGGGGAGGGAATTTTCATACGCTTCATTCATTTATTACACATGAGTGAAAATTTCATCTTAGAAAATGGTGAAAAACAAATTGCCCTATATGAAATGGCAGCTAGAGAGGTTTCATTTGAATTATTTGTCACACTGCAGGATTTTATTTTACAGTCTCCAAAGTTTTTACTAGACTCCATCATTAACTCTGGGTTTGGAAGAGGGCCGTTTAACAATAATAATTGTTAAATAATTTCTGAAACTATGTAATAACAAATTTCAGAGACTCACAGCACACTTGTACGCCCAGAAGGAGACACCTTATGTGGTAAATCTTGATCCCGCTGTGAGAGAGGTACCCTATCCAGCAAATATTGATATCAGAGATTCTGTCAACTACAAAGAAGTCATGAAACAATACAAACTAGGTCCAAATGGAGGCATTGTCACATCATTGAACCTGTTTGCAACAAGATTTGATCAAGTTATGAGTTTTTTGGACAAGAAACGCTCAACTGATTTCAAGTAAGTAAGAAATTGTTTATCTTAGAATGGGTCATTTCTTTTAGTAATATCATGGCTGAAAGTTAAGCAGCTTCTCTTGTTCTATTCCCAACAGCTTGAATGCATAGTTCCGCGTCAATTTGGGCATGCATTTCAGTATCGATTCTGTTGCATTAATGATCATATGTTCACTTGTTAATTTGCACAAATTATAACTATTACACGACAACATTAATTTATTTAATGGGTTCCATGCAAAAATGTCCCCAGACTGCTTCATTATTAAATTATGTAAAACATAATTTTTGTAGTATTAGACACCTTTAAGGCCAAAGGTGAGGTGAAAATTTGAAAAACACTTGCCATTCAGGCAAGCTGTAGCTGAAATTTACCACCCCAGAGCAATCATACAGGCCTACCCACTCTCTTCTTTTTTTTTTGGTTGCTTGCCTATTGGACAACTCTCGATCATGGCATGCTTCATTAGCCACAGACAGCTCCTTTGTCATGTCCTGCCCATGTTGGTCCACAAGAAAAAGAAACTGCACTAATTACTGTGCATTTTAAATGATATTTTATTGCTATAATATAATATCTCTCTCCTTCCCCCCAAAATATTCTTGGATTGTGCTCGTTATCTTTTTTGTAAATGGAAAAATAATGATAAAGGTGACCAATAATCAGTAAAAAATGGAAACAGAAATGAGAATATAATGTTATTCATCATTGTTTGAAATGATATTCTTATTACACTGTTACAGTGTCTTGTAGAACTCCTTTTAAAACTGATCATGACATTTCAACCAGTTACAGCCTGTAAAGCAGTGAGCAATCAAAAAGTCATGATCAACATCAAAGTTAGTATTATAAACTAGTATAAGTTGGTATTAGTAACAATGATGTTGATATTATGAAATGTGCTAGTAGTTGTCTAATTTAGTTGCAGGTATCATTTCATGTAGTGCGATATACGTATATTTTTTATTCATTATGGGTATTATATTCCAGATATGCAGTATTTGACACGCCAGGCCAGATTGAGGTGTTCACTTGGTCTGCATCAGGAGCCATTATAACTGAAGCACTGGCATCATCATTTGCGACAATTGTAGTGTATATAATTGACACAGCAAGGAGTACCAGCCCAGTTACATTTATGTCTAACATGCTATACGCTTGCAGTATCCTGTACAAGACAAAGTTGCCTTTCATTGTTGTTTTAAACAAGGTAAGTATTATTACATTTAGCCTCATTCTGCAACTCAGTAAAAAACCTTCTTAGAGACGAAAAGTCATCTGACAAGCAAATAGTCCAAAATTCTTCAAATGCTTCCACAGCCTGGGCCATTGAGGATGTCATTTCAACCCCCAAGATTTTTAAGTTTTCCTTTCTGGCAGTGAAGCATAATCATGAGGCAGATACTTCTGAAATCATGGTCTGATGTACTTCAAAAAATCTGATGATCAATGATGCACTTAAGCCAGGGTCGGCCAGGGGGGGTAGTGGTATACCAGTATACCCGCAAAAAATTTGCCAAAATACCCCAAAATACCCAAAATTCATCCAAATATACCCAAACGAAGGTAGGTATACTTTATACCTGAAATTCAAAGAAAGTGATATACCGAATACCCGTATTTAAGCTGCAATATACCGTATACTCGATTTAAAAAGCCCCTGTATACCGTATACCCAAAAACCCTGGCTGACCCTGACTAGCAAAGTACAAGCAGTATGAACTTCGCACGTACTCTCTCCTTAAAACAATAACAACTGGTCACCCCTGCCCAGTGGTTTTAAAAAAAATCCGTAAGAATTTCTTTAATCTTTCAAAATACTGCAGATATGAAGCAAAGTGTTGTAGTATTGGCTTCCCTACAGGAATGCAAATTAACTTCAAACAGTTTGACCAGCAATGTTTAACGCTGGAAGACACTAAACTCCTGGGCCGGGTTGTTCAAAGCTGGGTTATGATAAAAAAGGGTTAGTGCAAAATTTGGATTTAAATATGAAGGTAAAAAAACCAACTCAATTTTAATTCATTTTGTCTACAATTATTGGAAGATTGGACACTCTAAAAAGAATACAGAAATTTTCAGAGAAAATGCTTTTGAACAAAAGAAAAAGAAATTGGGATTAAAATTTAACCTTGGGTTAGCACTAATCAGCTGGGTTTTTGCAGGGCTCAAAACATTTCTCGTCCAGTAGTCCAGGATACACTTATGTCCAGGATTGAACTCTAGCACTTTGTTCCTAAAGATAGAAAAGTTTGACAAGTTTGTAAAATAATAGATGTAGGAAGACACTTTCAGATCCTCTATAAACAAAATTGTTAGCTAAGATAGGGAAGAAGTGGCCCTAGGCAAGAAAAATGTGAGACAAGCTGGAATTCAAATTTTTTTTTTTCCAATCCCTGCATGCATAGACCCGTAGTTTTAGTCATTCTTTCTTATGTTTAGACTGACATAGTGGACCACAACTTTGCTGTTGAGTGGATGCAAGACTTTGAGGTTTTTGAGGAAGCTCTAGCACAGGACACATCATACATGTCAAGTTTAACAAGATCCATGAGTCTGGTATTGGATGAATTTTACCAAAACCTTCGAACAGTGGGCGTGTCTTCAGTGACAGGAGCTGGTATGGATGAGTTTAAAAAGGCTGTGGATGATGCTGTGGTTGAGTTTGAAACTCAGTACAAGCCAGGTAGAAAGGGTCTTTAAAACTTAAGAGAAAATATGAACATCCATTTTCTGCACACTCTTTTGCATTCAGTTTTTATGGTACAGTGTACTGCCAGAAGAACTCCTTTCTCATATCTAGGTCTTCCATGCATCGATCTAAGAACGATTACTGCCAACTCAGGTCGATTATTTCATTTCCATGGCTATAGATTAATGATTAAAATCTAGTGAAATAAGGTTTCTGAAGAATGCATAAAAGAGGGGCTTATTTTTTGAGGGGCTTATCTACGCAGAGAAATTTGCGTTTCAAAATCAATTGGGCTAGCCTTTTAGTTGGAAGTAAATTTACCGTTTTTGCTTTGTTTTGCTTTGTATTTGAGGGCTATTTTCCAAGTACAAGCCCTCAGGGGGCTTATATTTGGACGTGGGTTTTTTGCGTTACCGGTTTGGGGGGCTTGTATTTGGAGGGCCTATACATGGAGGGGCTTTTTTTCGGAATTTTACGGTATGTGATGTGAGAGGGAGAAACAGCAAGGGGGGGGGGGGGGGGGGGGGGGGGGGGGAGGGGGGGGGGGGGTTCCCTCCCCCCCCCCTCTCTTTTCTTCCTTTTTTTTTTTTTTTCCCCCCTTTTCCTTTTTTTTCCCCCCCCCCCTCCAAAAACCCCGGAAAAGACCATTCCCCTTTACCACATACATAATTAATAAAATTTTGTGCTTATTCTATACTTTTTTTTAAATTAGAGAACTGAAAAAGAGATATGGTGGGTAGCTTGCAGTATCTGTCTATGTGGCGATTGGATAGCTTTGGTGTTGGGGGGTGCTCTCTGCTAGGGTGTTATAAGTGGGGTGTCGGGTCATATCAAATACAATGTAAAGTAGGGGAAGTGGGAAGGGGGAGGAGGGGGGCGGGGTGAGGGGGGCGGCGGGAGTGAGTGAGTGAGTTCCCTCCTCTCTCCCTCTCTCTCTCTCTTCCTTCTTATTTTTTCCCGCTCTCTTCCTTCGTGTCACACTCCACTATCTGAAAGCCTGGAAAAGGCCATTCTCCCTTTGAAATATGTACCTATTATGAAATTCTGGCGTATCGTTAATCTTCTTCAGAATATGAAAGACTGAAAAAGGACAAAGAAGAAAAAGCAAGAAAAGAAAAGGAGGATCAACTGAAAAAAGTCAAACAGGATCTAGGTGCTGGCAAACCTGTTGCGATGGAAACAAACCCAACTGGTGCCCATGCGCTTGCATCCATGCATGCAACTCCATTCCACATCTCCCTAGGGGCGGACTTAGACAGTGATGATGACGAAGGGACTGGGGAGGAATTTGATGAAGAAGAAATGAAAGAACATGAGTCTTTTAAGAGATATTTGGAAAAAGAGAAACTAAAGAAACAAGCTGGTACAGACCAAGAATAATGCAAATATTGAAAAGAACATTACGAGTTGGCAATCTCTACCTCGACAGCATCCTTGTTTGCAAATTCTGTGAGGTTATGAGGGACAGGTGATTTTGTCTTGTCAAGTGGGAGCTCACGCGAGCGAATTGCGGTCGTTTCACCCGGACTTAAGTTGATTTGGCCGATGACATAGAACACTCTACAACCCGGAGAAAATGCTTATCAGAGATGTTATTTTAGTTAAGCTTGGATTTCACATGTACAGTCCTATATTTACGTTTGTTCCTTGTTTCAGAGTTAAAGAACGAAAAAACATCAAGTAAAACGACTGAAGTCCGGGTAGCCTGTGAACAGGCTCTCTGTTTGGGAAAAGGGTGAAAAAATCGCCAGGAGGGAGAAGGGAAAGTCCCTTCCCTCTCCTCGCAAACAGAGAGCCTGTTCACCAGCTAAAGTCTGGGCGAACTGTCCTCAGGCGAATCGACATTCTGGCGAAACAACCTGATAGCACAGGAGCGACTACTCCTCTTGTCATTGTAGACCTTTACCAAGTGCCCACTTCTGGGTAGGCTAAGACACTCAAGTAATCCAAGACACTCAAGGAGGCCAAGACACTGAAGCAAGCCAAGTACCTAACTAGAAGAAAGACTGCACTATAAGAATCTATATATCGGACACTATAGGAATCATATATGAAGTACCTAGCCATTTCTGTTACAAGACTGCTGCTCAGCACTTCCACACATTTTAACAGGCTACCACACATTTTTTTATAGCCTCAATGTCGTTTCAACTCTTTGAAAACTTCTGGGAACAAAACACTGTTTGCATGCCGTTGTTTCCCCTTTTCTCAAATAGGCCTTGATACATGGCATACAGCTTTTAATGCAAAACACAGATACACACTCTACTATAGACAACGGTTAACTTGTTGTATTTCCAGATGCAGGAAAAGGGAAACACCTGCTACGCCAACTCTCTTGGTTTCATAGTGTTAAAGGGATTTTCCCGGATATTAGTATGCGTTGGAGATGGAATGTGGGTAAATTGCGTTTGACCTTCACCGTTTGACTATTAAAAAACTTGTAATATAAACTTGCTATGGATTTGAAATAGACTGGAATAAACGCAGTGAAAAACTCCTCTCTAGCGCCCTTTGATGTACTTGAAAAAATCAAAAATGCTATTTCCTACCGTTCTGTACTATAAGATTTGTGGTTTCTAGTCATCTCGCCACCAAACCATATTGCCATATCGCCGATATAAGATCGACAGATTGGTGTTTGTCATGGCGGGATTGTTCAGTGGCGAGATAACCGTAAACCCAAAAGGTTGATTGCCATTGCGAATAAGCACCACCCTGGAGGCATGAAAAATTGACCACTCCAGAAAATACCATAACGTACCATAATGCTCTTTTTTTGTCACACCAAAATTTTGCATAAGCATTGTTTTCAGTTTCTCTTGGGGCCATTTTAACTGCTTATGCAAAGTTTCTGGATGACAAACAAAGAGCATTATGGTTTGTTATGGAATTTTCTGGAGTGGTCAATTTTAATAACCACTGTGGCGCTAATTCGAGTAAATACTCTTACAGTCTCTTGTACGCTTGGACCCAGTCTCCCTCGGTTTGAAATAAGGCAATCACTACTTTTACACCGAAAAAAAATTCCCTCTTTCAAATTGACCAAATTTATCAATAATCATTAAAGACAATAATTAATCAATCAAAATCAATTTTCAGTGACTTTATTACATCATCAAAACGTATTTTAAACTGGATAAAAGTGCATGGTTATGAAGACTCTATGAAGATTTTGATTTTGGCATCTCATTAGGCAAATAATCTTGGTAACCTTGGTGACCAAATTCGATCGACACGCATTAGAACACCAACATGGCGACGATAGCAGTTTTCAGGGCAGAAACAACGGCGTCTGTAGCCTCAAGCTTTGAACAGCTTCACCCAAAAGCGAAACAAAAGCAGAAAGATAAGGCCAAAGAAACTTCTGATCCGCTTAAAGTCTTGGATCCTGCGAGGAAAAAGCTCACATCGGTGGAAGCACAACGAGTAATAGCTGTGGTCGATGATTCTATCAAAAGATTGGAATTAGTTTCGCTGCTTCCTTACATCATTGAAAACTTGAACCGGTTCTCTGTTATCCTTGGATCTGACCTAGTTCAAGTCCTAGAAGAGCATGATCGACTACAATCCTCCTATCAGAGAGCGATTTCCAAGTTTACTCTTGATCAAAGACGTAGCCAGTCTGCCTCTCCTACTCCATCACACGTTTCATCACGGAGATCAAGCGAAGCCTCGCAAGCTACTTTGGAAAATGAAGACGTCCTTGCTCTTCGGGAAAGTAGGCAAAGTTCTGCTGGGAGCAAACAATCGACGTCCTTAAAACAAGGTCGTTTAAGCCCTTTAGAACAAGCAGGCAATCAAGACGAAACTTTGGATCTGAAGATGGTCCAAGCTCTAAGCGCACAGATAAAACATTCTGTCAGGACAATCATGAGATTGTTTGCTTCTAATCCAGCCGCTGTGAATTCACTGAAAGACTTGAGGAACGAAAGGTCGATGGAAGTTAATGGGATGATCGATGAAATAACCACATTGAGAGCGATTTTGTTCGAGAAACTCTTGACAACACCAAGCGAGGAAAAGGAGAGAAAACAGTATTTAAAGCAGATTGTTGCTAGGGAAATGAAATCCAGCGAAAGTGGGCGCAAACTTCAAGAGGAGCTGAAAAGAGCCATAGATGACAAAGAAAATGAGGTAAAATGTTGGCGTTCATTTACTTCCCTCAAGTGTTGGCATCCCCATAAAACAGGCCCAGGGTCAGGTGGGTAGAGGTTTCCTGAGGGGGCCTTCAAATCCACACCCTGTTTTAGACCCTGTTAGGACAAGGGGCCTTATTTCATTAGACTGCTTGCAGTCTGCCTTTTCTCTAAAAATCCATCCAGTTCTTATTTCACCCAGCATGATAATTTGCAAAAAACGACATTACAATAAGGGATTAGGATGCAACGAGAAAGGACAGACTGCAGACTCTTTTGTAGTAAACATACCCCCCTTCATTCCAGAAATGGAGTAGCTGATTGGTCAATTGTACAGCTGTCAATGGTCTTTGGTAGGAGATAGCTGGCGATAAAAAATAGTCACACATCACAACTAACTTATTACGAACAATAATGAACCAAGCAGTTATCGCATATAAGCTAAAAGGTATGAGGATATCTTCCTTAAGAAAAACAGAAGGAAACTGCTCTAAATTTTCTAAATGGAAGGAAAGTCATAGCCTGCAAAAACTGCCATTTCTCCTTGCTCTTCGCCACTGGGGACATTTTACACAGAGGAACGTCTGCTATTCAGCGACAGAAATTCCAAACTGATGATGTAAATCAATGTTTACATAATATATCCGGTAGTCCTGGGGTTCCACATCCAAATTTGTTCAATTTTACGTTTCTCCTGGTTGATTTTACTAAAGTGTTGCGTTCATCTGCAAACAAGTCCCAGAAAAACTCAACTGCTTCTTCTAGAGAAGAATATATTCCACCAATTTTGACTGTTTTGTGAGAGATTCATCGCATTTACATTTTACCTTTGTAGCCTTTTGTCTTCTGTCTGTCATTCGCAAACAGTAGCTAAAACAATGTAACTACTCAGTCGACTAATCAGCGCTTCTGACCGGATTCCCGACAGATTTTACACCATCAGTATTGAAATTCTGCCACTGAGTCGCAGATGTTATTCTGCGCTATTTGTCCTCAGCAGCAAAGAGCGAGGAGAAAAAGCTGTTTTCGTAGGCTAGGAAGGTCATGGCTATCTTATAGGATTTAAAAAAAGTGTAATTTGGCTCAGATTACTCAGGTTTAATTGGTTGATAAAATTACCTTCACTGACTGTTTTGTTGTCCCCAGACAGAGCAAAAGAGTCATCAGTCTCTTATTTTTTCTTCTCGGGCTTATGCCCTCCTTCGTTACGGCTCACAGCTTCACTGCTCGCTGCTCGCCTGCATGGGTTAGGTGTGGAGAGTAACTTTGCAACGAAAAATAAGAGACTGCTCACAGTCAATTATTTCATAACCCTGATTTATTTTCTTTTCCATACAAAATTATCCAATTCGCCTCGTGGATTGCCCACTTAATTTCTAAAGTGTTTCATTTGTAGATTTCCAAAAGAAATGACATCATTCGCAGACTAAAGAATGACATATATGTTGTTGAGAAGAATGCAGAGGAGCAAAGTCGCAGAATCATCACAGATGCTGCCAAACAGGACGCAGCAGAAATGAAAAACTCAGATAGCAAGAAATCTAAACTTCAACAGGAAATTATTGAACTGAAAAAGAAACTCGAGGGAGACACAGTAGGTCACAGGGAAAGTGAACTGGCCTTGAGAAAAGTAGGTGTTTAGTTACATTTGTAGTTAACCCCAATATCAACATTTATATTCTCCTCATGGTTCTTCATACATTTCTTTTGATACTGCTTGAGACAATTTGCTCAAATATCAAGCATTCTCATCATCTGTATGTTTTATCACGCATTGTTATTATTTAGAGAAACTGGATGCTAGTTGCAGTATATTGAGGCTGAAAGGGTAAACTAAGTGTTTAAACAATTAACTTTAAAATGCAATGTACTTTATCAACCTCCAATAGGTCTAATGACTTATTTTCAAGCCCATTTGAAAGGGGAATGCTTAGTAGAGGAAAGCTGGTAGGTTAAGTATTCTTGTTAGGGAGCTTTTAAGCGTAAAAGCAACCAAGACAACGACGACAGCAAAATCATCAAAAATAAATTGGTTTTATGAGCAAAACAACCGCTCTGCAAGAGCATCACGCTTTTTAGTACATTTCCTTGACGTCCACAGCACGAGACAGTACGACCTCAAACCTCCAAATACGAAGTTTTAGGGAGGACGTGAACGTAGGAAGAAGAATTTGCCTTTCTCTTTTTGAAACCGGATAAAATCTTCAAGAATTCAACACCAGGAGAAAATCGCCTAGACAAATTGAAATGGTCAACATAGACGCGATAAAGTTTGAAAAAAAAACGCAAATTCATTTTTTAGGGATTTTTTCACTGCCGTCGTTGTCATCGTTACTCAAGCTCTCTCTTCATATTTGGCGGACTAGGAAAAGGATTAGAAGACTTCATGACATGTAATGGTTATTCGAAGTGCCCTACTACAAACGTTTGCAGGGCTTTGAAAAGTCCTTGAAGAAACTCTGGCTCTGAAGTCCTTGAAACTCATAACAAATTACAAATCGCTTTCAAAGGTCCTTGAATTTTTCTCAACAGTCTGATAAACCTCTTTGAAAATAAGACATCAGAACAGCCTTTAATAGGAAACGGATTACACTCATAGATGTGCAATGGTTTCCCAGTGTGGGTGAATTAATGCAAATACGTTTTAGGATCGCAATCTGAACATTTTCCCAGATTTTCTATCGGAAGGTTTTCTTTCTTTTTTTATTTTGCATTCTAAATAAAAATGACTAGCTTGGTGCCTTTTTGCTGCACTGAATCTCATCATCATTCATCCAATTTTTTATTATAGCGCAAGTACAGGATAGAAACAGAAGTTGAGAACTGGATTCAGAAATATGACACAGATATGGGAGAAAGACAGGTACCTTACTCTCACAAAACATAACCGCCCGTGCGGATCCACGTCCCGTGAACCGCTTGTGACGTCATCAGTTCAGTCGGTTTCTCAAACCATTCTCAAATCAGCACGATTCAGTCAAGGAGGACCGAGAAAAAGGCAAAAAAAACTGTTTCGTTGAACCGAAAATCCCCATGAAAATCTTGTTCCACTATCCACTTACCCTTTCCTTCCGTCTTATCCTGGGATCCAACCTAAGAGCTTTTCCAAAAACTTTTCCCAGTGGAATGAACATGTAGCCTACTAAATACCCAGCAAAAGGGGAAAAACGAGGCAAGAAAAGCGCGTAAGCGCGTAGCATGGCGGTTTTGGTCGGGCCGTCGGGCGTACAAACGAGCCAAGGAGGGCCAGGGCTTGCAAAACAACAACTTTGCACGTGCATCACGCTTTTTTGTACATTTCTTTGCCGTTCCTGTACGACTACGACGTGAAATGACCAAATTTTAAGTTTTTTGAGGACGAGAACGGCTAACCGATAAATTTACCATTTCTGTCTGAACTTGGGCGCGGTCCCCTCTCTTCATCTCCAACCCTAAATTCCCTTTTTTAAGTAACTGGGCGACTTGGGATAATCGCGAAAAAAAGTGACAGGATGCGAAGCCTATTTTTCAGGGACGTTTTCACGGAGGTCGCCGTTGTCGGATCGTAAGGTCCCTTCCGGTGAACTTACGCAAAAGGACGGCAGATGAAAGAAGACGGCAGACCTTGTGTGACAAGCGTGACAAAACTTTTGTTGGAAACAACTTTTCGCCAAATTTCATTTTCCTTTAAACAGATCTATTTGTAAAGAACCAGAGAATATTGTCCTCTTCTTCAAGCCTTCCTGTTGCGTAAAGTCACTTTTAAGTCCCAATGGTTCCAGTAAACGAACCATTAACTGGGAGCTGCACTGTTTGCGTTGTTTGCAGGATGAATTCGACGCCCTAGACGCCATTTACACCGAAGAAAAGAGACAACTTAGTGAACTAGAAGAGCGATTCAAGACGCTGGAAAAGGAATATTTAGAGATCATGGAGGCAAGAAGGATAGCTAAAGAGAAAGCAGAGGCAGCCGAGAGAGAACTGAATCTTAAAATACGTGCTGCGAGGTTGATTCAGTCGCTTTGGCGGGCGCATAAGGCCAGAAAAGCGCTCAAGAATAAAAAGAAAAAGGGAAAAGGAAAGAAGGGAAAGAAAAGTGGTGGAAAGAAGAAAAAGAGGTAGTTTGGATTTTGTTGCAACGGTGATGCGCCTTGATTGGAAGCTGTGCGCAACAATCCAAGCGATAATCAATCAAAGGTGGCAACAAAAATGCCCCCGCCTTCAGCTCCTGAAAAGAATATATCCCGTAAACTTTTTCATTCTGACAATCGCTTTAGCTGTCATTTCGCCCACGCGTCGGTTCGCAAACGTCCCGTTCAGTACTGTCTAAAGTCGTTTCGATTACGAAACAAAACAGGCGCTACTCATATATATATATATATATATATCTCCTTCTTTCAGCCCTGACACTAAAATGTCTGATACACATGTGTATACTTTGTTCTTTAATCCTTTGATCAGGCGAAAGAAGCTAGCGAACTGACCAAACTCGATGGCGAACAGGACGTTGGCGAAACGACTCGTAGGAGAATTGATCTTTAATCGAAATTTTTCTTTCGGATGGTGTTGTACTAGGTTACGTCTCGTGTTTTTATCTCGCAATGGCGCAACAAAACCGTAAGACAAGTTACAGGAACAACTAGCCTGTCCATAGACTTCTTTTTTTCGACCATTCGACAGCGCGCGCGAGCGAGCGCGGAGGGCAAGAAAAAAAGGAAGGAAGGAACTTTCCCCCAAACCCCTTGTCGTTTCGATGAATAAATCCCTCGCAGTTTTTATTTTCATACGCGCGCTCGACGATCTCTGAAGAGAAAATAGAGAGTCTGTGAACAGGCTAAAGAAAAACTGCCTGTTATAACGGTACGAATTAGATTACCGTGTCCGCAACTTTTTTATCAGGGAAAAATTAGTACAAGATACATGACGGTTGTACAGAAATATATTAATGTACTACAATTAGTTATAGCAGTGTTACAATGCTATCTTACACCTTACCTCTCTATTGTTGGTTTTCACATGACGTCACTAAAATTCAAACTACAAAACTATCGATCCTACAGAGATTTTACTTTCACGATGTATTAGAGCAGCTGAAAACTAATTTTCATACAAATTTTCGCTTCAAAAGGGTTCTTGGTTTTGTGATAGAGTACGCTTGAATTTCTAAGTTTTTGCCTGACGCGGCATTTACATGAGGGCCAAGAGAGCTGTTATGACTTATTTCAAGGAATTTTGCTGTCTGAACAGTTCATGTATTAGAACATGGCTCTTGATTAGAAAAAGTATTACTTTAATGTTTATGAGTACCTCGAATAATAAATTCACGCTTTTGTAGCAAAACTCGGTAACAGATGTTTCTGTTGGTTTCCGTCCGCCATGTTGGTGCCCATCCGGATGGGCAGCAGCATGGCGTCTCCATACAAATCTCTATAAGTTTGCGTAAAACATTTCTTCGGATATCTCGTATACGAAATATTCCTCTGACCTGAATCTTTGCATATTTACTTCCTTTCATTTCCCAGATTCTGGACTTCATCTATTAAACGCTTTTGATTTTTATTTTGATCTATTTTGAATGGCCTGACACTGAAAACCAGCAATATTCTGTTACAGCTTGAAAAGAGGAATTAATATGAGAACAAACACGTTTGTGCAAAACGTGTATACCCCAAAATTACAAATCTGTATTATAACACTTCAAAACAAATAATAAAAGGAAAAAAATAATATCCTTATTTCACTGTCTTCTCTTCCCGCGCCCAGATAGCCCTCATGGCCGGCTCCTCCCCTTTTAGGCTAAAACCACAGGTAGCCCAGGCTTAGCGAGTACCACAGTGCGACAGTTAACTTACAGTGTTTGTATCGGGTAAAGTTTCAATCCTAAAATTTGTAACACGAAACAAGAGAGAATATTCTCTCTTGTACGAAATAAAAGTCAATGGCACTTGCTTGTTTGCTTACCGTTAGATTTGAATTTTGACACACAGGCTACCTCAGTACTCTTATAGCAGGAGCCTCTGATCTTATGAGTGACTAGTCACGGGCTCCTACAGATAAGCTCCAAGCTCCTGCTTATAGTCACTTGTAAGAACCCGAATGAGAAAGGCACTATCTTCCTAAAAACTGGCGATTTTTTATTCCTCACTTGAAAATCATCCTTGCTTCTATTCGTTTTTTGCAAATTCTTTAACTAATAACAGCTGGTTAGATATTGGGTTCCGGTCCTTCTATTACCGAACGGTTCCGCCACGCTTGCTATACACGTATCGCGCGCCTGGCACGCAGGAACCGATAGATCAAAGGGCAAAACAACTTTTTAATTGTAGCTGTGTATTTTCTTTTACTGCCAATCATTTCCATGACATGTGGAGCCAGATTAAAGAAAGCTGACAGGATGCCTCTGGCATATTTAAGCAAAAGTCTATAAATAAAGTCAAAGGTTTTTTAAAGCGACAAGGGGGGTAAAAATTAAATACACAAGTACAAAGGCAGTTTTTTTTTTTTTCGCTATTGCAAGCTTTCACGGTCTTTGACCTTGGAATTCACTTTGGAAAGCATATTCCCATGCTAAAATAAGACAACACACATTATTAACATAACAAAAGGACCGCCCGATTGTCAGGTACAGGCACATTTAAGGAAAAAAAAGAATTCTCCTTATTTAAAATTGCCTAATTTACTATTCCACGAGGGATAGTGTGTTTAACAAAACTCCATATCAGGTTGGTAAGTGATTTTTCGGCCAATGGGAAATAGAGACGTTTTCGATGATGACGTGCTTTCTTCCCATCCCGTATGCTTGATCTTCGATCTGGCCCAGACTTCAAGATGTAAATAAACAGTGTTTCGCGGAGTGAGCATTCTTATGCAGATTGTTATGATTGTTAAAAGTGGCAGTGCGTGAATTTGCCTAACCAATCATCGATCCAAATGTACATGGTTGCCGCAGGATTATTCAACCATGTTGACTGTCATAACACATACTTCATAGGATGACTCAAGGATTTACGTCCTTTCACGTTACAGTGGCTACGTTGTAAGGAAGAAAGGAAGAAAGATAATTCCAGCTAATTATTTTCAACTTCTTATCAACTTTGCAATAACTTCAAAATCAAGGTGGAAGATCACACTCAATTCACGAGTTGTATAAACTGCTGTCAAGTTCTGAGCAGAGTTAAACGTGCATGTATGGATGTAGAATTAGAGGCCGTTGGCTCTCAGCCTAAGGAGGAGAAAAGGCCAAGACAGAGAAATGGCAGAGCAATTTCAAGAAAAATGAAGCGGCAACGACTTATGGACAAAAACGGGCGAATTCATGTTAACTATGTGAACGTTCCAAATCGCAGTCAGCTTTACTACTTGCATGACCATTTTACTACAATGATCGACGCTCAATGGAGATACGTTTTTCTAATTTTCTCGCTGTCCTTTTTAGTTAGCTGGTTAGTCTTCGGGTCAATCTGGTGGGGCATCTACTATTACCGCTCTGAACACCACGACATAGAGTGTATAGAGAAAGTTGATTCGTGGACGGCCGCATTTCTGTTCTCGTTAGAAACGCAGACTACCATTGGTTATGGGGGCCGACAGATCACACCGGACTGTCCGGAAGGAGTCGTTTGCCTGTTAATTCAGTGCATTATTGGCTTGTTAATCTCTTCGACAATGTTAGGACTCATATTTGCTAAAGTTTCACGTCCGCACAAACGAAGTTCAACAATTGTTTTTTCACGCCATGCGGTGATAGCAGCACGCAACGGCAAGCTTTATTTGATGTTTCGCATAGCGGATTTACGCAAAAGGCAGCTCATCGAGTCACACATTCGCGTTTTTCTCATTCGCCCTTATGTCACAGAAGAGGGAGAAAACATCTGTTGCTTTAGGCAGCCGTTGCCTGTGAATTGCGATTTGGAGAGTGAGGATGAAGAGAAAGTCTTTCTCTTCTCCCCGGTAATTGTCTCACACGAGATCAACGAGGAGAGTCCTTTCTACGATTATTCGCCGAATGACTTGCTCTTCGCCGACTTTGAAATTGTCGTTCTTCTCGAAGGGATTGTCGAATCTACAGGAATGACTACGCAAGCGAGAACATCGTATTTGAGAGAGGAAATTCATTGGGGTCATTTGTTTGTGGACATGATGGGCAGTGTATCAAACAACGGGTATTACAACATTGACGTTTCACAACTCCACGAAACATTTCCCAGTCCTGTCGCATTGCCCAGAATAAGTCCACGAGAATTCCACGACTCGAGGCTTCGAGAAAATGGGAACGATAATTCCCACCAGCAGGAACTTATGGAAGAGATAAGCGATCGCGATATAACAGATGTGCCTCAGAGTAACTACGTTCGTAACGGGGTGACTTAAGTTCCAAACGGCGAAGTTGGCCAAGATGTCAACGTCAGTAAATTATGAGACAGTTGATTTGATGGCATTCTGAAACCGACTGATATTAGATAAATATTCACTCTAGCGAAAAATATTAACAAATCCTAATGTTTTCATTCATAGTTGTTAATGGTTTTTTTGTACAAAAAAAAAAAAAAGTATCAAACCAATTCAATAGTTTAACCTCACCCGCTCATCAAATAGCTGTTTTTTTTTATTTCTGTTGTGATCACCAAACAATTAATTTCCTTTCATGCTGATAGCAGTGTATATTAGTTTCTTTATTTATCAACGCTGTTCCCGTGTATTAAAATGACATTTGTTTTCTGGCTGTTTTTCAACGAGGCACGTATGTTATTAGTCCAACATTTTGGCCAAACCTACGGAATATAGAACGTATGTGACGGTTATTTACTAAATCAGTTTGAATAACTGTTGCCTATTTATTCCTTTAATACTGTCTTATCGCATTTCAGTTCAAATTCGTTCAGAAAGTGGATGTGAATATTACAGATGGTAATTATGTCTCCGTAACAAGTTTACAAGTTTATTCACAAATCCGCCTTCATATGTTCAAAGTTGAGGAAAGTTATTTAATATGTGCTGTGACAAATATTCAGTGATCATTAAATCATTTTGTTAAACAGACTGATGTGGTCGTCTTTTAATTAACTGGTCTTTAAGATTTTTAAACTTTCTTGTTTTCCAATAGCTTTTGATCATAGGAGCGTTGCAGCTAGCTAATATCACAGGTCGAGTATCTGTAGTTATCTATGAATGTGTGTTTACCAGAAAAAAACATTCAGGACTCGTTTATCGAAGTTGATATGATCTCTGTCCAAATATAAAGCCACTTCTTACTCTTGTTGTAGTTAATGCCTTAATTTGTTTGTTTCTTACTCATTTTTAATCCCAGAACATTGCTCGATATAAGATAATCTTTTCGTGACGTTCCCAAACTTAAGTTAATAAACCACTTGTCTAGTTATAAAGTTAAACAAGTTCTTTCGCCTCGGGCCACGATTTTGGATTCAGTTAGATACCGCTCTTTGTTTAGCAGCAAATATTAGTAACTACATGCAGTAGTAACGATCCGCCTCCAGCGAAGTAAGGTTCGTATTTTCAAGAATTATTGATGAAAAAAATCCCGTGATCTCCAGTGGAAATTAATGATAAAGTATACGTCAAGAAATTATACGTCACGCGATGTTTCACAAAGCAGTTGTTGAGCGGGAAAGACCGATATTTGGATTGTTGCGTAAAAACACTGACCCTATTTGAATTAAAATACACCGTTTATGCGTGATTGTGCCTCTTGCTCATCGCTGCGGTCAATTATTATTAAAAATGCAGATTACGAAGTTTTGTATTCGACGGAGACTTAATTTTACATCAGATACATCGTCGTGGTATATAAATAAAAGTTCCGACCTGTAAACGTTCATTTGCGCTCTATCTCTTTTTAATTAATATTGGCACTGTATCTGTAGAATCCTGAACCACGATGATATTGAGCAAATTTAACCGACTTTAACCGTTTTTCAGATTGGAAGTTTCTCGAAGGGTCACTAGGCGAGAGAAGGTCTATTTTTCACATCTGCCGCCGGTGCTGACCTAAACCGTGACTGATCTCGGGCTTATTTCTTTCTGACCATCGGTTTGTGAAGAATAAAATTGAACTGGACTGTATATTGGAAGCGATGTTACGATTTCCGGTAACGTAGTTAAATCACCTGGTTACAAGGAGACCGGGAAAAAATATTCATTAGCACAGGTACTGTTTTTTGCTAAAGAGTGCCCGCTGAAAATCAGTTGCTACGCCACCAATAAACTTCGAACAAACATACAAAGAGACCGCAGCAATTCTAATATTTCTAAGAACTAATTACACCACTTCAGCTTTTTTAAAAGTTAACAAACATATCGCTAGTCAATTTATTCAGCTGGCAGATATCCATCTGTCTTTGACTTTCTTATGCTCTCAGGTTCTCCACGCGAGTGCGCCTACCGAAGCGCGAGTGTCCACGCAGCCAGGTTGCTATGCATGCACTTCCACTCTCTTAAGAATTTATATTTACATTTTCCTTTAATTTCTTTCATCGTCCCAATTATTATTTTGTTTGCATGAATAAAAAGTATCATTCAAAACTTTGATACGTTCACATGCATATGGATTTCATCAGGTTGCGCTTTCGCTCCCTGAACTCTCGTAAGTCCTGCAGATGGCCAAGCTAATTGGACTCGACTGTCTGTTAACAAAGGGACTGCTCGCAGTCTATCCGATTATAACTACCACAATTCATTTTCATTTTTTTTTCTTATTGTTATTGCTAAATTTAGTTATCACAGGGAGGTTTGAACAACAATAGACCAATCAGACAAGACAGGAACCCACAAGAAGACAAAAATATAGACAGTTTGCAGGTGAGTAGAATCAGTGACGGTGAAAATGGCCGGCGAATTAGACGTATAGACGTACTTCAAGAGCTGAGTCGCATTGAGTAGTCGAGTCGATGCTACTGCACTCGCAGTTGTCAAAATCAGAAAGCCTGTGATATCTGTTACTCAGTCAGTTAAATCAGTGGCACAAATTAAGGTTGACCCGGCGCAAAGGCGGGGGCAAACCCCCTGAAGGACGTAATGGGGTAACTAATAATCACGGGTGACACGGCTGTGTACAAGGATTTCATCAGTCTTCTCATCTCAAATGTTACTTCGGGCTCTGTTGTCAGGCTCCAAAATCATCTCAATGGATGCCAACTGTGTGTTTATCTGATAAACTTAAGGCCAGCGGTAAAAAAGCCCCAACAAATTGTCTCTCAAGTCTCCCACACAGTCAGGTCCGTGGCCGCTGCTGTGCGCAAGAACTTTGCCGAACGCAAGAAACCCAGGCACAGAACGCAGAAAACACTCTACGGGTACTTCCTACTGCCGTTTTCTCTTAATTTCTGTTGCGATGCTTGTGCAATACGTCGCTTTTACGTCTACTAGAGATATGATCAAATCACTACAAGTCACAAAAAAGTCTTATTATTTAATTAAGTTGGAAGCAAGTACCAAAGTGACAAAATAGAAGTACCAATTCCTAATAAGGGATAATCAGCTAAAGAATTTATAAACAACAAAAAGAAGCAAGGCTGAATTTATAGTGAGGAATAAAATGGCCGATATTTTGACTAGTCACCTTTAGAACCCAGACAAATACAATTAAGTAAATCCTATTTCTCACTGTAAATCAGCTTGTTTCTTTTATAAGATTTATGTACTAGACCTCTTTGAAAAATTGGCCTAAACGGACAGCACCCCTTTATGGTAGTAGACTGCAAAACAGTCCGTATTTTTGCGTATTCAAGTACGCGCGAGCAGTCAAACAAAAGGTCTGGAACGGGGCTGAAAACAGAGAGGGAGACAGGGGAGAGACGGGCGTGTGAGGCTCGCGCGCGACCCTTACGTCACGCTTTAGCGATTTCTTTACTGATTTTAAGAAAAAAAACCGACTGTTTTGCAGTATATTACGGTAGTGCCAGCATTTGCCATTAAGCTGGTTAATTTCATGCCTGATGTGGCCGGCCTTAAGGAGAGAGAGTGAGAGAAAAAGGCCTTCTCTAAAATGTTTCGCTGTTTTTTGCATGATACGTACTGTCAATCTGGAACGAAGTTCGCTTTCAGTTTACATGATACTACAATGAAATTTCGCACCCATTTACCGAATTTCAGTCCTTATCAAAACCGGAATGACTTGCGCGGCAAAGGAAATGTCGTTTCGGCATCAAGTAAACCCTAAATACATAAAGAAACATATGGAGGAAGTTTCAGAATGAAAGTCATTCCAGTATCTGATTATCAGGTGAATGGATGTATCATGTTGGAATCCACCATTGAACATCATCATCATCATCATCATCATCATCATCATCGGTCGAGCGAAAAGCAGTCGACTGTTGGATCGGACTTGGAAAGTGCCCACGATATCATTCTCTGAGAAATACTTGCTGGAGTCGATCTCTGTATTCTTGGACTTGGTTGGAAAAGGGCTTACGCGCTCTTCCTGGTGGTCTTCTCCCAGTGGCAGGGCTTACAAAACACGTAGATGTTAGCGGGTTCATCCTTCTCCAGGCGCAAAATAGGGCGAAAGAGCTTGAGCTGACGTGAGATGACCGTAGATAGCAATTAGGGCTCGTGCCAGTGAGATCGTAGATTCGGTCATCGTAACTGACTTTCTCGAAATGTTTGATGTTCAATATGATCCTATAACATGAGGTGGCAAAAGCATTTAGTTCAGTTGGCACCCATGTGACGTCTTTGTTGATTATCCACGTTTTGCAGCCATACAGCAGGAGCACCCAACGAGAATATAGTTCAAAACCACTTAAACATAGCATTGTTGAACGTATTTTAGTATTTAAACGGTAGGTCGAGGCATATTTTTATCCCCTAAAAATTTTTCATCTGTCCGGATTTTCTAGCTGAAAGTCTAGTGATCCGAAAATCATAGGGATCAAAACTTACCTTTTCGAAAATTTCAGCCAGAAAAAGGCTCCCGAAAATTCCAGGTGACCTTTTTAGGGTAAAAATCTGTTAAAAATGGGCAATTATACCATTTTTGGGGGGTTCGAAAATCCTAGGAGAGGCAGGCAAGCAAGAAATTTAACAACAAATGTTCCGAAAATTCGAGATCTCGAATCGTCTTCCGAACAGATATTTTACAAAAATCGTCGTTGGGTGCCCCTGATACAGTACAACTGAATAACACGCAAAGATAAAACTGCTTAGAGTGATAATGGATGATAAATTAAATTCTACAAGCCAGTTGTGACCAACATCCGTAAACAAAAAAAAAATTCATCTTATCATGTCATTTCGCGCGTATGGAACGGTTTCTACAAAAGCTAAAATTGCAAATTTATAAACCAGCCATACTGCCCACCTAACTTACTGTCGAACAGTGCTGATGACACTTTTGCTTCTCATCTGACCCATGTAAAGGCGAACGCGTACAGCAACGAGTTGCATGCAGTTTATTACAAAAAACGCTCATATGAAAAACTCTTAAATTTTTATACATGGCTAAGTTACTAACTCGTAAGAACAGTCGTGTCACAGGAATTAAGTCTAACATCTGTAAATTCTGTTTTCAATGTCAATTGATGAAAATATATTCAAACAAGTAGCAATAATAATAATAATAATAATAATAATAACAATCTTTGTACAGGGAGCTCATTTCACAAAGAGTGATATTCAGTGAGGCCCTGTAAAACAACAGAAAAAATAAATGATCTTATTCTTAGATAAATGAATGCTTAATAGTAATAATAAGTAAAAAGTCAAGAATTAAAAACCTAAATTATACAAGCTACAGGTTAAAAATGTTAAAATGTCAGATAGATTAAAATATTAAAAGCTATAAAATATGTAACATATATAGCTTTTAACGTTCTGTTTAAAAAGAAGAAGACAGTTAATTCATTTAAAGGATGCGTCTAAAATGTCCATTCCTTAGCGCATTGATTAAAAACGTCTCTGCTTTCGTAATTCCTTTTAGCGAGAGGAAGACGGAAATCAGTCCCTCTTCTAGTGTTATAACTATGGATGTCTGAGTTTCTCAAAATATTAAAACTGTGATCTACAAGTCCGTGGATGTACTTAAAAGTGGTAATGTATCTATGTACAAGGCGCTCTTGAAATAAGGTAGGCCAACCAAGTGTTTTTAGAGCGTTGGTAGATGAAGCATAGTTGGGCAAATCAAGGATAACTTTGGCAGCCTTATTTTGTAAGACCTGTAAATCATGCATTAATGTAATATTATCTCTGTCTCCCCAGATGGTATCAGCAAAGTCGAAGAGAGGTCTTATTAAAGTATAATAATAAATATAATCAATAAAGCATTGTATAATGCTATTCGCACATCCAAAGGCTATAGATGTTTGATAGGATTTAAGAAGCCAATTCTTTGAGTAGTAAGTTCATATATAAGAATTTTTCCAACACTCTCTCCCAAATATATATTAACTTTGTTGTTGTATGGCAGCGGTGCACGTTCGTCATCCTTTGCATTGCGTTGCAAGTTGTTGGTGTTGACTTTCCATAAATGTGAATGTAGTTTAGTTAAATACTATAAGTTTTTAACAAGGGCTGCCTTAGTCCCAGTCTTGTCTGCTTCTTTTATGTAGCTGGTATAGACTTGGTACTAGGCACATGTCCCGGGGGGTACTCAACAAAGTTTTGTAAGGGGAGGCTTAGCCTGTTCCAGGCTTCAAGATAGTGGTGAAAAGTCGTTCAGTAAAAAAGAAATGCGAACAACGCGCGGGGGCTGGGGAGAGACAGGGCCATTTTTCCTGCCACACCGCCGCCTTTCCCAAGTTGCGCAAGTCTTATTCTCGCTTTACTCCTTTTAATACGCCCCCACTATTCTATCTGAGAGCCTGGCACAGGCTAGGGGAGGCTCTGCCCCAAGGTCCAACTCCTTACCCTTTTATATAACATTTTTGACAGGAAAGATACCCCTTTGCCTTCTTTTGACAATGGTACCCCTTTCACATAACTAGTTTAGAACTTTGCATCACTTTTAGCCGTTGTAAATGCACTGTCTATAAATTATGAATAAATCACAACACCAGAATGTTTTCTTGAATTTCTCACAGCCATAAATTGCATCTGTTAGCCCTTTTGGGCCTTTTTACTGACCAAAACGACAGATTTTCTTATCCTTTCATATAATTCAACAAGTAAAATCCCCTAGCCTTTCCTGTACTTAAAGACTGAAAAAGGTATCCCTTTCGGGCAGAACCTCCCCATATTGGCCATTATAGAGAGTACACCTGCCCCCCCTCCCCCTTCCGGGTACATGTACTACAATAACTTCCATAATGTGTATCAACATCAAAGCCATTTTAAGCTCTGCTAGTTTTCCACATGCTGTTGCTGCCTATAATACTCCCTTGGAGAACAATTCGGCATTTCCACAACATGAACTTCATCCAGCCTGGAGAAATCAACATTATAGAAACCATCTGTGCTGAAGTAAGATTTCTCTAGCATATTGAAAAAGTCATAACCCCACAAAATTTCACTGTTCAAATAGGAAGTTCTTGGTTGAGTGTTGAGTCCCGTGTGCTCAACCACACCATCAAGCATAGCAACAAGTTCAAATTCTCTCTCTTGTAAACGTTCTGGTGTTAAGTCATAGAAGGGGCTTTTCTCATCAATGACATGGATAATCACCACTGGAAGCATCAAAAATAGCCTATTCCTGAAGTCATTGTCTGGGTCATTCCAGTCATAACAAATTTTGAGATCCTCCTGGTGAAAACTGATTTCTTTACCTTCCTTGGTGGTACATGGCCGGAACAACTGCAGTCGCATATACAGATCAACTATCTGGCTCTTTCTTATGTCCCCAACTCTGAACATAAGACACATTTTTCCATCCCTAGGAGCAATTACTGCATATTTTGAAAAAATGACTGTTTTCATGCGCTCTCGTGGTCTTGATAACTTTGCAAATGTCAAGCCAAGCATAAAAGCATCTGTTAGCAACCCCACAAGTTGCTGCACCTGCAAAATGATAATCGCCTCAGGACACTTTGTTGTTATTGACTTCTCACCATATCCAATGGTCTCTTGGGTTTCGAGAGAAAACAAGAATGCTGCTGTCCAGTTGTCAACCTGTTAAAAAAAAGAAAGTTAAAAAGCTATGTTTAAACCAGTGATATAAACTGTCCTCTACTATTGTCCTCTACTTTGCAAGAGCAGTTGCAGAAGACTAGGGTACAAGCAGATTAGAACCTTGGATATACACAGTGAAGGTTCGCTGAATTTTATATACTAGTCTGGTTCAAATGCTCTTTTTGCATATGACTGAAAAGCTGTTGTCAGTGTTAACTTTGGATACTCATAAGTTATAAGCAACATTGGATTGCAGATGCTTGTGAAATATTAATTTAAATGTTTTCAGCTTGTCCTTAAGATAATGCATCAGTCAATTCCACCTGCACCCAATGATTTGATTTAGCGAAACGCATCAACTGTAGCAAAAATACCATGGTATGAGACAGAGTAGACTTAAGTGTTGTACAATTAAAGTCACAGTCAAAAGTATTTAATTCACTTGTGGGAGCCTAAAGTGACAAAAACAAAATTCTTATTCTTCAAAAATGTGCTTTCGGCCGCATGTTCTTTGGTAATTGTTATGAGAATCGTTACTTGTTTTGCCTTGTCATACACAACTTACAAACGAAAATCTCTGGAAAACTCCTCTTATATTTACATTTTTTATCTCTTACATTTAAATGTTTTATATAAACAGCCTTGAAATTTATGATACTATAATTCTACGGTATTTCTTCACAGAGAACTAGAGCGCAAAGTTGAGGAAGTTAAGCATATGAAGTTGGAGGTCATGCAGCCGAAGACCAAAAACAATATGAACTTCCAGCCTGAATGAACCATAACTGATCAGTCCACGTTAATTGTTAATTTTTTTGTGAAGAATAAGGATTGGGGGAGGGGGAAGGGGGGGGGGGCGGGGGGGGGGGCTTAAAAGGGGGTTTAGGGTACTTTTTGGCTTGCGGGGGCCTCTTTTTCCTGGTTTTTGCAACACCCATTTCAAAAAAACAAAACAACCCTCCCTTCCCCCTTTTTGCCAGTAAACAGTAAAAAAATAGCCCTTTTCTGAGTGCCATCTGTCCCGTTTTCCAAAAAAGGGAAACTCTTTGCGGAAGTATGGTTGTGCGGTGTTGGGGGATGGTGGTGTGGTAGGGGCGGGTGGGGGGGGGGGGGGGGGGCGCGGGGAGGGTCGGGGGCGAGGGGGGGCTTAAAAGAGGATTTACGGTACTTTTCTGCTAGCAGAGGCCTCTTTTTCCTGGTATTTGGCACATCCAATACAAAACAACAAAACAACCATGCCTTCCCCCTTTTGGGCAGGAAACAGTAGAATAGTAGGCCATTTCTGAGTTGCCTCTGTCCTGTTTCTCAAAAAAGGGTAAGTCTTTGATGCAAACTTCCCTTTTCATGCAAATAAATCTCATTTTCAAAAATAATGTTTTGCACTTAGTCTCACTAACTTTGTAGGGTCTTGGGATTTTTGTCCCTTAGAAATGGCCAAATCTAATTTCTCCTATATATTTATCAAGAGGGAATAACATGAATTTCGCAGGCAAGTTCTTCTTTTGTCCAGCTGAATCTCTTCCCTTGTCACATACAATATTGGACCTCTCCAATAGCCATCTTGAGAACTCAAGATGACTCATTCTCAATTAGTGATTTTTCATCTTTCTTGAAGGGGTCACAGAATGGTCACAGAAGACTTTTACCAAATCTCATCAAGGAGAATAACTGGAGGAAGAGAGGGAAAAGGGAGAGGGTCACCTCCCCTTTTCCTTCCTTCCTATCTCCCCTCACGCATACCTTCCATGTGTTTTCCTCATAAATATCCAATAAAGAGACAAAAAAGACGACTAGGGACAAGCCAGGGGTTGGGGTAACTGGCTGCCACAGAGGGGCTAAAACAAGAATGAATGTATCTGCCAACAACGAAAAGTGTCTATGATAGATAGATATAGCCTGGATAGAGCTTTGTCTGTGTACTCTACGACTTGCAGTGAAAATTTCAATTCTTTAACCAAATGCTTTTAGGGGGTTGAAAAATGGGCCTGTTATTACTTGGAAGAGGGTGTGTATAGCTCCATACAAAAGTGGGATACCCGTTTCTAGGTGTTTCCTGATAGTGGGAGATTGTGCAAAAAAGGGAAAAAAAGTGAGCCTGAAAGAGAGGTTATACAGTCATTCCCTTACCACGTATCCCAAGTTCCCTTCTGGACTGTAAGCAGTCCCTCTTTTTTCATAGTCTTATGAGTGAACATCTCACTTTAAGTCACTGGCTCACTGTTTACATGTTATGTGTGCCGACCCACTAGTTAAGTTGCTACCCTTTTGTTATGTGTTGATCAATTTAAAATTTCAGCACCCCCTCTCCCAACCAACCCACCCCCAGTCTCGGTCTTTAATACAACTTGGTTAGAAAGACGCGACCTTTCTCAAACTGAGACAGAGGACTTTGAAGGTAAAGAACACTTTAAAAAAGAATTGCTTCTTTGGCAGGTACTTTAAAGGCTAAGAGTTAAATTTTTGTCATTCAATAGAGTGTTTTCACTCACGTGGCCAGCATATATGTAAATTTATTGGAACAAAAGAAAGCGTTTGCATAAGAAAAGAGTTCAACTCCCAGAGGACTGGTTTGGGACACCAACATGGCCGCCGTTTCATTGTTTTGGAACACCAATATGGCCGCCGTGACGTCATGTGAAAACACTCTACACCCTATCAACGTCCTGTGGATTCACTAAAATTCACAATCTGCAAAACATTTCTTCTTTACGAGGGCAATTTTACCATTTTAATACATAAAGAGCTAATTAATATAACAGGAATTTGAATAGGCCTGTTTTAAAAAGTTCATATGTCAGGGGGTTTATGTTGAAGTTTCAAATTATATTTTCCTTGGACAAGCCTCAGATGAGCTGTATCATTCCTTGCCTCTGGGGTGAGAAATAGGTGTTTTCAGGGATCTTCCTCATACTTTTAAAAGAAAGTTTATTAACTGGGGGTTCTGCTATACCCATATGTCACTATTCCTAATGTATTAAACAGACCTTGGTAACACAAACTGAAGAGCCTCTCAGTATCGCTACAAGCCACCAAATGAATCCAAACATTGTCCAGGAAATTATATAAGATGACGCAAATATGAGTATGACCCACTTCCAGCGCAGATCAATCATAGTCGTAAATATATCCGCCAAGTATCGACGGGTTTTACCAGGAACATTTTTCGCCAGAACTTTAAGCTCGCCGTTTTTCTTGACTAAACGACGTTCGCTGAAGCCCCTTGTAGGTATTTTAGTTTTGTTTTCACCTCGAAATGTCGATGAATCTATCAGTGATGCAGGTCCAGTTTCTTTCGTAACAAGAAGTGTTGTTCCATCGTTTGTAACCGACGTTGAGCTTTCCATTCCTGCCACAAAATGCTCGTTATCTGCAGTCTTTGAGTCCACAAGATGTTCACGGGAGTAAGAAGAGTTCATTTTGGGGGATAAAAACATCTCAAGTAAACGACAGCGATAAGACTGGACTCTACTGGAGCGTAGGAGAGTCGCGTGACAGGCGTGACCACCGCGATCTGCACTCCCATGTAGCTTCATGTCACGTTTGTGCCGACAATGAGAACAATTATTTTCGCTCTAGACATTTTTCAGCCTGCCTGCATTCACTTCCATTAATGGTTTTGACTTGAATAGCAGTTAATCTTCCAGTGTCAGCTAAGGGGAGAAGAAACCCCAGACTTTGGCACCAATCCGTGATCAGCATTTCATTTTCACTGGGGTTTTTTACATTTTGGACATAAAGATGACCCAGAAATTGTTACCAATGGACCATGCAGTCCAAGTTGCCCCAAGCCTCTGTTTCAAAGCGAGGCTAAGTGCGAAGCTATTGATTTGAAATTGATTTTTTAGTCTCATGCGAAAAAAAGTTGGGGGGGTGGGGTACCTCCAGAAAAACTGGGTGGGGTTGCGCAGTAAGCTTGCTGAAACCCTTACCCTATTTCAGACCAAAATCTGTGATTTTACCTATCCTATTTCAGACCTGACCCTCTTAAATCAATACTCTATTTAAGACCTGCCTTACAATCAGTTCCCTAGGTCAGACCAAATGTTAAAGGCAATGTTTACATGCTTTTATTAAGTAGGATACAAAACTGTACATAGTTTTCAGCTTAAAGGGAAATGGTCTTATTGCCTAATGATGAAGAAGTAGCTTCTTCTAAAAAACATACCCAATTCAAGACTAGGGTGCACAAACCATACCCTAGTTCAGACCAAAATAGTCCACAATTTTGATTTGATACCCTATTTCAGACCAAAAGGGCTAAAAAACCATACCCTTTGGCACCACACATACCTTCATAGCCTATATAAGTGAGTACCCCCCCCCCCTTAGGATAAAACTCAAGAAAGGAAGGTTTTGCTCTTAGCCTCGCTTTAAAAGCAAGATGTTTTTGGAACTCAAAATGACCTATTGCATTGACTTAGAAGCAATAATGCATTTTCTTTGACCATACTATCATAGAGGTATGGTTAATAAGGTAATGGACGCTTGACTTTCTAAATTACTATAGTTGAGCTATCCCGCTTCCGTTTTCGAACTGAGGGTAAGTCTAGCTAGTCCAAGGGGAATTAACATCAGTCTAGAATTTTCATAAAAAGTTAGAGCCTCCACAGTCTAGAAATTTAGTACCGGTACTTGACAACTTATTTTTTTTGACGACAAAATGTTATTGACAACTGAAACAACATAGTGTGTGAGACTTATTCAGTGAGTCCATGAGAAATGGTCTTTGACCTAGATTTAACAAGTATCGGCCCCCATCCCCATATTCTTTATCGGCACTTTGCCTGATTTCCTCTTTGTAGATGATTTGTAGAATACCTTCCTTTCTGAATTTGACAACGCGAGTAGTGACTATGTAGGATGCTGCCATTTTGAAATGTACAATCCAAGCATGCGCAGTGGATGTTACTTTCCAAAATATTGCGGGAATGATTTTGTTATCAGCAACTAAGAACCCTGGCCAGTGTGTGGAATGCTTGAATCGGCGACTTCTGCTGGCAGGGAATGGAGGCCCCTAGACTGCCCTGGGAGATTCGCTCTGCAAGGGAATGTTAGCATTGGTGCAGATGATGTCTTTTTTAAGCCTGGCCTGCCGGTGCTAGAGGTTATTCAAGGGGCGTGATCCATTCAACCAAAATTACGACCAGTCTGACAGGGAAAAGTGGTCCAGCTCAAAAGGTGGACCAGTTTTTCTGGTTGGACCGAACCAATCCATTGAGTTTTGAACCAAAATTTCCGGACATTTTGGTTGAATGGATCGCACCCAAGGTAGTAGGGTAAGACCACAAAAATGAATCACCAATGGAAGACTATACTATAACACAATACAAGATAACTTTCATCAGGACGTTTACTATCAAAATTTAATTTTGTGCTTTGAGTAACTTATTGTTTTTTTAAGGAGCTGCTGATTGGCCCACAACCAACTTTCTTGAAATGTACTGTAACAGTTATTTTCCTGTAATCCAATTGGTCAACTTTGCCTAGGTGGCCGCGGCTACAGTAGTCTCACTGTAACAACTTTTTCATCAGAATCTTTCAGGGCACTCAATTAACTTAAAAATTATATAATATGATAACAATTATTACATCAAAACAAGGATATAATAATAACATAACAGTAACAACTATAGTAATTATTATTATTATACTTTATTATTATTATCATCAACTTTAAAAAATAACAACTTTGTGAGAAATAAGTTCAAGGAAATGAAGATGAAGAAAATATAAGTTGAAATCTCCCAATATCTTTGTATCTTTTGATAAAAGTTACATACATCAATAATTAATTAATCAGTATGAAGCTTTAAGAAGTAGAGGCAAATGATAGTATAATTCTGAACACATTTTTATAAAAGCCAAAAAGGTTTCTAAATCATACAAGAAATATATTAATTTTTTATTTTAATAACGCTTTGTTTCATTTAATTTTAAACCACAGTTTTCCTTTTCAGATTCCACACGCCGTTCACATATTCTACTTTCCCATCTCATAAAATTCTTTTGCACAACAAGAAGGTGCCTCAACTTTACAAATGTCATTAAACCTTGAAAAATCAACAAAATATTTACCATTATCAAGACAATTTCTATCAACAACATCCTCAAAGTCATAGCCCCAAAGGATCTCATCGCTAGTGTATGATGTCTTGGGCTGTGTGTTCATTCCTGTATGTTCAACTATTCCATCTAAAACTATAACAACTTCAAAGTCAGATTCTCTGAGTTCCTGTGGTCCCATTTCATAGAAGGGGCTTTTTTCATCAATAACATGAATTATAACCATTGGCAGCAGCAAAAACAACTCATTTCTAAAGTCATTATCTGGATTCCTCCAATCATAGCACACTTTGAGATCTTCTTGATAAAAAGGTATTTTTCTTCCTTCCACTGTCTTCCAACTCCTGAACAACTGCATTCTTATTGAAGCATCAACAATTTGGCTTTTCCGAATGTCTCCAACCCTGAACATTAAACACAATTTTCTATCTCTTAAAGCGATGACTGCATTCTCTGAAAACATCACTGTCTTTGTGCGCTCACGAGGTTGGCAAAGCTTTGCAAATGTTAAACCAAGCATGAATGCATCCAAAATTAGGCCAACCAAAGATTGCATTTGCAGTAGAATAGTTGCCTCTGGACATTTAGGTGTTATTGCTCGACTTCCATACCCAATGGTTTGCTCAGTTTCAATGGAAAACAGAAAGGCAGTTGTCCAGTCATCAACCTATATGAAAACAAATACTGGTAATGATTTTAAGCAATAAATTGCAAAATGTTAGACTTCCTTTACTTCTCCTTGGTCAGTCAATTTTAAACAGCCATTAAAGTTTTAATAAAATAAAATGAATACCCAACCAAATGAAGTTAAATCAAACTAAGGGCTGGCTTCCGTTAAGAGCATGCCTACCATCCAGCTTGTAGACCATGAAGCAGGCAGTTACAAGGTGGGCATTAACTCAACGTGCACAAGCACCTGAAAACACTGACGTTCAGTGTGTAACTTCCAAGTTGAATTGGACTTTCCACTCTTCAAAATCTCCCTCAACTTAAAACAAAAACAAAGATGGAAGCTATACCTAAAAAATTTGCAAGCCCCTAAAATGTGATTCTGAAGGAGAAAAAAATTGAATTTTGGCTAGAAGGTGAACAATCCAGGTCAAGGAGGTAAAAATACGTGGTAACATTTTTATATATTACCCCTCTTCAAGTTTTGGGAACAATTAACAATTTCCAAATGCATTATATGATTTCTTATCCACGCAGTATTTTGATACCAAGGTAAACTCTCCCAAAGATGAAAACTACGGGGTCGAACAACTATTGTCCTTACAACAACAGGCACCATGTCCACATTTTTCACACCATACATTCTTCTAATTTCCCTTGTCAAATCCTGATATTTTTCAACTTGCACCAACTCCTTGTCACGTGCTCTTGGCTATGGTCTAGCATAGGAATAGCAATATCCACGTACAATTATAAATTTGTTGCCACATTTTTATCTAATGTGCCATTATTTTTTAATCCTTCTGGGCCAAATTTTTACACTCTCTTACAAAAGAACACACACTCTCTCTCTTTTTGCCACACATTCTATGCAAAGGTTATGGTGCAATTAGATAAGGGGTTCCATTTTAAGCTTTAATTCAGATGTTCTAAGTTAGCTCCAAGTCTTTTCTCCATCTCTGGTTTCTAGCATTTCTCTCAGAAGCATTGTCATTATTATTATTACTATTATTAAAGACAGGTGTCTGGAAAAAAAGAAAATGACTGAAGAATTGCAGGGACCAACTATAGTTGTATAGCTTATAGTGGAGTTGCAAGAGAAAGTAATAATGAATTCCTTATAAACAAACAGTGAACAGTAGGTCAATAGCTAGAATAGAGAGTGGTTAGGAAAATGGATGCACAATTAATGCATAGGGATATGGCAAATCCAGCACACATTATTTGCACACATTAAGTAATCTTAAATAATTAACTTGGTTCAAATAAATCCAGTTTTAAATATAAAAACTAAAGAAATGTAAGAAATTGAATAGTTTGTTAGCCCAGCAAGAAGAGCAATAACAAAATAATACAATTCTTTGTTGATTACCCCTTGGATACAAACTGATGGCCCTCTCACTGCAACAATCAACCACCAGATCAAACCAAACACTACCCACGAAAGCACATACGAGATGCAGAAAACAAGCATAACTCCCGGCCAATGAAAGTCAATCATCGTAGTAAACAAATCAGCAAAGTAAAGTTTTGCTTTCCCGGGAACATTCTTGGCTATAACATTAAGAGATCCATATTTGTTCACTAAGCGAGTTTTCTTCGAACGATCGAGGAAAGAGTGATGACCTATGGTCGGTGAAGCAGGACAAGGCGAATGAAGTGAAAATGTCGACCGATTCCCATGGCGTTTTGAAGAGCGCACACTGACTAAATTCGTCAAAGGGGACAATGGTTCAATCCTTTCAAACGACTCGCCTGCCTTGTTAGAGTTATGATTGTCCATAGTTTTACGGTGTTTTCCGAATTTCTGGACATAAAGTGTTTTTACATGCAGATACGGACATAAATACGGACAGTACTTCAGCTGTTCAGTGAAGTGTCACGCTTTCAACAAACTTGTACCCAATCTCTGTCAACAAAAGTTGGCAAGTCACGTGGTGTCGACTAGGGTCACCGCTGCAAACAACCGCGCGATAAAAATTGCAAGTTCGACAGTCAGTTCGACAAGGTAGATTCATTTCCAGCCATGACTGTGTCGCATTGCCCTTTGGAATTTTTGTTTTTCTCTTTTTCCTCGAAAACGACGGAACGGGAAAATGGGACGGCTATACGCGTATTAAATACGCGTATTGCTGAAACAGGAGCCCAACTCTCCGGCCTGGCTGAAACAACCAATCACCAGGCTCTTGTACGACTGCAAAAATGACGGCGGACATTTATTCCAGAAGAAAATTTAGGGCACTGAGATCTGAGATGAGATCATTTACGAAACTGCTTGGGATCTCACTTGGGATCTCATATAAAGACCACATCACCGTGGAGGAGGCAGTTAGAGACAAAATTAGACATGCCATTGGGCCCTGTAACGACATCTTAACCACGATAAGAAACGCAAGTTATTAAAGTGGTTTGGGGATAGTGCATTTATTAATTAAGATAAGCAGGGCTTGCCAAGACAATTTTTATACAAGGAACAGTGCAAGGAGGGAGAAGAAAAAGAAGACAAAAGAAGCGCTGAGAGAATAATCTCTGATTGGACGGGAGACAGGGTTGAGGTTTTGGCTAGGAAAGTCCAAACTCTTAAAGCAAAGTCAAATGAAGGGAAACTGCAAGGTCCTTAGTGCCACGCCTAAGGGTCATCATGGGGGGGGGGGGGGGGGGGGGGGTGAACTCAGCTAGTAACAAAGGAGAAAGAGAGTGCTAGATCAATTATTGAGGTGGGGGGGGGAGGAGGGTGGTTTTGGGAACGATAAAATATAAATCTAAAAAAAAGTAAAGTGGACATGACACACTACCAGCCTTCGGCGCAATCTGGGTGGGTTTGTGGGGGGGGGGGGGGAGGTAGGTTCCACCAGGCTCACAACAGACTTAAAGAAGCCAAATAAAAAGGATTTAATAAGAATTTATCACGAGTTCGATAAAAAAAGTGTACATAACTCATAAATAGATGTCTTTGTGATGTTTTCTTACTATTTTCTTAACCTCGTGAATGCCGTTTTAGTAGGTATTGATGTTCTGATTTCTCGCCTACTAAGACAATCTGCGAATACAGCCATCCCTCCTCGCTCCTCACTCCCAGACACGTTTCCCGCGAAATGTCCCCGGTGGCAACGAGCGAGGAGAGACGACTGTATTCGCAGGCTACTACAAAGAAGAAAATTTCTTAATACAGTAGATAAGAATTAACCCAGAACTTCAAAACTAATTCTTGAGACTTACTCTTGAACAGTTCGCCCCCTGTTGTGTCCCTATCAGAGTCGCATTTCCCAAGTTCTGAACGTCGGTTTTCAGTTTTCATAAAAAATGAATAGTGTTTTCTAGGATTTCCCAGGGCTCCTGGATTTCCACATTTACGTGCTTTTTGAGTTCATCTGCAAATTTTACCTGGTTTAACTCACCGTGGTAACATGCGGTAACATGCGGTTACATGTGAGTTACCGTATTTACTCGAATAAGCGCCTTCTCTGATTTTGCGCCGTCCTCGAATAAGCGCCGCAATTGAGACAAGAAAGTTTACGTAAGCATCACGGTCTCGATATAATCAAAATCAACAAGCTAATTCTGTTAGTTTCATACGGAAAATAGTGGTACCGTAGTTTATACAATTCTTCCCCGTGTCCAACTTTCAAAACAAGCCGCCCTCGAATAAGCGCCGCATTTAAGGTGCGAAAATATTTAGAACAACCACCGCGGCGCTTATTCGAGTAAATACGGTCCTCAATTAAGGTAAATTAACCGTTCTTACTGCTTCATCCGCGTTATTGTGGTAATAATCGCTGTCAATATGGCAGGATCTCACGTTATGCTGAAGATAAACGTATAATTTAGGCAAAAGTTCAACATAAGAACAGTGATTCCGGCGCGATTTCTGTATAAACAGACCAACGCCGAGATCTAAAGAGGAGAGTCACCTAACGGATAGGTGTTCAACTATACCGTAAAGCCTCTCGTGTCGACATGTAAGAAAACCCGACATAGTCTGAACATAGCCTTACTGAATAAAGTTTGCACTCATCTCCAAAAATACAATTTATTTCACCAGAGATAGTTCTTTAATTTTACACTTCAAATTATATGTTTTTTTAACAATGTAATTTGTCTTATTTTTATAATCCACCGTACAAAACTATATCACTCGCGCACTCGCATTACATAGCAAAGAGTAGCTTGAAACGGCTCTCAAGCAAAAGTATTAACAAATTACTTCTGCTATACAGGCATGTCCGTTCTTTTTTTTCATTTACTTCTTCGTATCCACTTTATTTTTGCGCGGATCAAAAACATGTCGTACAAATAACTTTTGCGCTGTAAAAAAATTATCCCCAAAAACGATTCCTTGATCGAAATTTCCTCTTAAATACCTTCTGGTTATGAATATGTTGTAGGAAGACTACAATATTCATCACATTAGTTGAGATACTTGCTACATTATTTCCTCAACCCCCCACCCCCACAACCACCTTCAACGTTGATTCACGTACAGGTGAAAGTCACCCTTACTAGTGGTACTGGTAAGTGGCCGCTTAATGCAGGTTGGCCGCTCAATAGAAGTCATAATCTTTGAATTTAATTTTATGCTCATAGGCTACAACTAGTCTGTGCAAAACTGGGAATCAGCCTATGGGAGAAAGAAAAAATAAAACCACGTGCGGGTGGTGGAGGACGGAGAAGAAGCTGGAGATCGAGGAACGAGCAGTGAACGATCGCGAAAGATTTCCGCTTCTTCAAGAAACTGAAATTGGCAGGCGGAAACTATTTCAGTTTCTCCAGGACCTCATTATTTCGTTTTGACTTTCAAGAATCATCAAAAAGACAAAAATGAAAGCCAATGATGATTTCCAACATTAATCTACAATCAATGTTCCAAATGAATGTCGATAATTACCTTTCTTAAGTACAGAAAAATATATTTCTTTGTCCTTTATATTCTCTTCTGTGACAAATATAGCACTACATTTCATTTTCCAAGCTCTTGAGAAACTGGTAGCAAACTGGTGGCTGAAAGCTCAGCTCGGCAAACCGCGCTGAAATTCGTCATGTAATCGGTCCCCAAGTTTTGAAACATTTCAGACACTTTGCCATCCCCGGGGACCCAGGGGCAGTCAGTCGGGTCCGGAGAAAAGGCGCGACAAAGGTTTTCAAGCATGTGCCTGAGGGTCCTGGGTGCCGACTCTCATCGGATCATTTTCAAACCGTCAAGCACATTTCTCAGCAATTTTTGTACGACTAACTCCTGAAAATGCCTAAATTAACGTTTTATCAGAGGACGTGAAAAAGAGACAACGAAATTTTATTTATCTTTCTGTACTTGGACATGGTTCTTAGGAATTCAACTCCTGGAGAGTTCGCCTACATTTGACGAAGTAAGTGGGTAGAAAAAAATCGCGAAAGACTGAAAGAAGGCAAACTTATTTTTAAGCGACGTTTTCGCTACCATCGCGTCCTCGGATCTTTAAGTCCCTAATAGTCGTCGTCTGCTATCGAACGAAAAGAACTCAGGAGATGCTGTTCGACGATTGGACACAATAATACAAAGCAATTATTCCCCCCAACAAGGAGGCAGCATTCGCTTGAACGTTTCGAACTGATCTGGTGAGAGTCGGTAAGCAGGGGCTCTTCCGCCCGCGCTTGAAAAGTTTCGTCGCGCCTTTTCTCTCGACCCGACTGACAGCCCCTGGGTCTCCGAGGATGACACTTTGCCCAATGCGAAAGGCAAGTTTACTTGCCTTACAGGGATTAGCTGCAAATTGCTCAAGGCTTAAACGTCGGCAAGCAATGATCATTGCACCAAGTTAGTAAAGCAAACAACAAGAACTACTGACGTAAAACAGGCCGGATAATTAAATCGAATGGGCCTAAATCACGGCACTTTCAACGACTTTGCCTATTTTCACTTACTGCAAGGTTCAAACTAAAACTGACTAATGAAGGAAACACCGTTTACCGACCAAATCATCGTCAAACAACCTTTAGTAAAATCCAACTAGTGGTCTATTATCAATGCTGCGTTCTGATTGGTTGAGCTACTACTATGCTATATGTTATAGCCCACTAGTGGCGAAAAGCGCCAGATTTTTGGCGGAAAATAAGGATTAAAGTCTTGCTTTAAGTTGTTTTGTGTCGATATTTTTGACCAACTAGTTGGACTTTACTAAAACAATTATTCCTCTCGCCCTCATGGCCTCTGAGTCAATAGCCCATTCGGCCTTCGGCCTCATGAGCTATTGACTCAGAGCCCATTCGGGCTCGCGGAATAATTGTTAAATAGCCGGCGTAGAAGGTGCGGTATGTTTGGCGAGAAAAAAAAAAGGTTTCGAAAACGCAGAGGACAAACATCAGTATGAGTTATAAAGCGCTGTTTCTTGTTGTTTTTCGCCCTCATTTGCCTACTCGACAATTAAACCGCCAACCTCGTCCCCAGGGCTTTTCCCTTAAAAAAATGGGTGGGGCGAGAGAAGCTACGCAGGCTGTATAACCTACATTACCCTGCAAGCAGGATTTCACGGGGGGCGTGTGATCTTTTGGTGAGTGCTAAAAGTTTCCGAGATAGCGTAGCCTGTGAGCAAGCTCTCCATTTCGAGTGGCACTTAGGGAATCGAGCTGCACGAAAACGCGAGTGACTTTTTATGACATACATATCCCCCAAATGGAGAGCCTGCTCGCGTGACGTACCCCCTTAGTCTGCAATGTTTTAGTTTTAGTTTTTATCGATATAAAATAAGTTTGAAACATAGTATCATGTTACCTATCAGCGAAAGTAGTTATCGATACGCATTGAAACTATTACTTTGCGTTTCAATCTCTTCAACATCTGGAATGCCGCGAGCCACCTTTTCACAGATTAGTTTATGAAGGTCATATCCGAAATACGACATAAATCTTTTTATAAAGCAAGATTACAAAATTGAAATATCAGGTGGCATAGCTTCTTATTTCTTCTAGTTGTTATTTCCGACCTGGCGATACCTGTTTCACTGCTCTTCCTCGACAGCGAATAAAAACGATACTGAACTGAATCAAAACAAGACTAGTCACTCAATAAAACCAACCGAAAATTGTCAGGAGTGTGGACCACACATTGATCGTGATAATTACCCTTCTAAAAACAAAAATAATGATGAGGTATATAAACGCAGATTTAATTTAAATCTGGTTCCGACGCGCAGCGTTACAGGTTCAAAACTTTGTTTTCGTTGTTTTCTACAAAATCTAGTATCACAACACAATGCCCCGCGCCACTTCACCTCTTGGTTAATTATATGCAAATTAGCAAAAAATACTTGTTACGCTTTCATAATAAATTTGTACAAAATACTATTCCCTCTATACTGAAAATATGAAAAACGATTGCATCATGATTTTAAAGAGCTCGAGTCCCTTAACTCTGAGAGAGAGAAAGAGAAGAAGAGTATCGTAGATGATACTTTGATCGTCTCAAGTGTGACCTCCACTTCTCAAACTCATTAATAATTCATTAAGAAAATACAAAGGAAATTAATGTTTAATGAGTGTTTGGAAATCGGATGAAACACTGCTTAGTATTTGCATCCTTAATTTCTCCTTCAAAAATGATTTTGTGATGAAACACTGCATCTCATGTTTGATATATTACATAACGAAACACTAAATAATGAAGTCAGGAAAAAGTAAAATATATGAAAACAAACTCAATATAACGAAACCTCGTTATAGCGAACAAATTTTGCCAGTCCCTTGGCCCTTCCACTGTACTAGGAATTGCGATAGAATTCTGCAAAACCTTCAACATGAAGGTAGATCCCATCTGGGGCTCGAATTTTTTTTTTCCGAGTTATTGCATTTGACGCAAACTTGAACGCGTCAAGTTTGAATAACTTTAAATAAGTGCAACAACGGAAATTTCACAATGTAAGGTTACTTTTCGGGATATTGATTGGGAGCCAATTAAGGATTTTAAGATACCGTAAACTTAAAGGTTAGCAATAACATCACCTTCCTTGTCTTCTAGTCCTGGAACTACTTTGTGGCTGTTTTCTGTTAGTGTTTTATCCTCAATACTTACAGGGCTGTCAGAGTCATCGTCAGCATATTCTTGGGTTTCTATGGTGAGCATTGAGGATGACTCTGATTTTGATGTAAACGTTTTTCCTTCATAGTAATCCTTAGCTGACACTCGAGGGGTGGCAACAGGGCCGATATCGTCAAACGTCGAAAAGTCGACCCTGTACTTGCCAGATCGCCACTTGGTCTGATCCGTTATGTTAGTAAATTCATGGCCCCAAATAATTTCTTCAGCAATATAAGAGGTCCTTGCTTGAACCACCATGCTTGTCGCTTCTACAGTGCCCTCAAGAACTACGACGATTTCAAAGTCGCAATTGCGCAAATCTTTAGGCTGCATTTCGTAAAAGGGGCTGTTCTCATCGATAACGTGAACAATAGTCAGGGGTAGAATGAGGAATAGTATACTGTCTATTTGGTTTTCTTCACATAACCAATCGATTCCAACAGGCAAATTCTGTTGATAAAATGGCAGTTCAACTCCTTCCCTAGTTCTTCTTAGGCGAAAAAGATGTACCCGAACGTGCGCTTCCAAAATCTGGCTTTTTCGGACGTCGCCGACGCGAAACATGAGGCACATTTTGCCGTCACGCACTGCAATAACTGCGTTTCGGGAGAACAAAATAGTTTCCGCACGATTTTTCGGACGTGAAAGTTTGGCAAAAATTAGACCCAGTATGAATGCACCTATGATAAACCCAGTTAGAGATTGCAGATTCAAAAGGACAATAGCTTCAGGGCATTCAGGAGTAATTTGCCGACCCCCGTAGCCAATAGTTGTTTGAGTTTCGAGTGAGAACAAAAACGCGCTTGCAAATGAGTCAACGTTGTCGACGCAGAAGTTGGCGCCCCGTAAATAGGCTATAAGCCACCATAACAAACCAAATATCATCCAGCTACCACAGTACATTGAAGTGTAAACTAGACAAATCCACCGCCATTTAGAGTCAATCATTGTCGTAAACAAATCCGAAAGATACATGCCGTGTTTTTGTGGAACTTGGGAAGCCACCACTTTCAGCCCACCGTGCTTTCCAACGAGTCGACGTTTCTTCGCATTTTTAGTTGAAAAAACTCGCTTCATTCTGCTCCTTTTCTTCTTTAAAATTTCCCTGTTTCTCTGGTTGTTCTTCGCACCGTTTGGTTGCTGTATTTTAACCTCTTTTAGCCCATACCTTTCGCCACGGTCACTCGTTACATCCATGTTGATAGAATCGAAGATGTCTGAGTCTTCGTCTCCTTCACTCAACTCCGCCTCCTCTGCTTTCCAGTGAAATCTGTTTTTATTCTCTGACCTGTCAGGAATAGTAGACATCTTAAGTAAAAATTATTCTGCGAAAACAACCAATAAAATCCAGCGGTAGCAAAGAACCTCGATTTATAAAGTGTTGAATAGTATCACAGCTGAAGGAGAGCCTCGTGACAGTGTTAAAGGTCGCATCGATGAAGCAGAAAAAAACAAACGGCTGACCACTACGTAGTGTCTCTGTGAATGTCGTCCTACTATTAACAATTGTTAACAGATGATTGTGAAAGTGTGAACATGTGTGTATGCGCGTCACTAGTTAACAAACTGAAACAGTCCTGGGGCGCGTACGAATATCCGCTCACCTCAGCAGTAACGCTGTCGAATATCCACGTCATACTCATTTAGAATTCATACCTGTTACTCTTTCCGGTGCTTGAAGGATAAAACCAGTTATTTTGTCTTTATAAATCGGCGTTAGGACTGTTGTTGTTTATCGCTTGATAAACAACTTCATGCAATCTAAATTAGCATTTATTTCACCCAAGGTCCCCAAGGGATTTTGCCACATTCTAATCCAGTGTACTTAATCATCAGTGTTCATATTAATTCATCTATAAATATCGTAGTCAATAAGGAGTATTGATTACCTGACCGCTCTTGACAATATTACAGCGTCACGTAACTTCCTTTAACGACAAGTTTTGAAAGCTCCGGGTTTAAAAATCGCTTTTCTTTTGTTATCGAAATGAAAAGCAGTTCAGCTACCAGATTCAAGGTGTCCAAAGGAAAAATTCAGTTTCGTCTTTTTTTTTTCCGTTTTTTTTTTGGTCATTTTCTAATTGATGCTAAACACCTTTCTAAATTTGATGATCTTACTAAATACTAGTTTATCACTCTTCACTCACTAATCACTCCAACGTAGAGGGTTTTTAAAAGCTCAGTACTATTACTGAAACACTGTGATTCTTAACATCCGATGTAGATAGTTGGTCCTCACCGAAGCAAATATTTATGACCATTGAAGAAAAATCTCATGAATTGGCAACGATTATCGGCCGAAATTGAAATAAACATTTTTAAGTTTGAAAAAACAATCAGGCCATTTTCAGTTTTCAAAGTTTGAAAAATCAGTTCCGTTTTGTCTTAGATATAGAGAAGGTAAAAAAAAATGAAGTAGAGATTACCACTCAATACAGGTTTTAAAAATATAGAAAATATAAATTTACAGTAAATATTGAAGGCAACTTTCGAGGAACTTGAGAAATGACCGCTTTGTCTAAGAAAGGGATGGGCGCCCCGCAGGGAGAGGGTGACTAGAGAGCTTTCGGCAACGATGACAGCGATGGCAGCGAAAACGTCATCAAAAAAAGGAATAGGTTTATGAAGCAAAACAACAACTTTGCACCTGCACGACTACAACGTGAAAATGCCTTGTTGCACGTTTGTAATCTCGTACCCAGATCTCCCACGGCCAGTATAAAACAGAGTGAGATCTGGGCACGAGATAAGCACGTTTGGTGGAGGATTGAGGTGGAGGACGTAGACAAACATGCAACGACGAATTGTTCTCTCCCTTTCTAAACTTGAGTGCGGTCCCCAAGAAATCAACTCCAGGGAAATTCGCGTACATTTGACAATAAACTTCCCTGCTAGCAGAGGTCTCTCACGACGAGGCAAAAATGAGGAAGGAGAGACCTCTGCTAGCGGGGAAACAATATACGCGACAAAGTTTGAAAATACAAGAATTCATTTTTAGAGTGACGCTCTCGCTGGCGTCGCGGTCGTTGATGCTAAAGCTCCCTATGCTGCCCAATAGAGGGCCACTCACATAGAGGTTTGACGAAGTTCGAAGCTAACCAGGAGATTTGAAACTTTGTCTGCAGGCTTATTCTCGAAGATACTACGCGAATTTGTTCGGAAATATATTTTCCAAGAGAGACTGAATGAGCCAAGACTTGGCACATTCTCTCTTGTTCTATCTAAATTTATGAAAACGAACCTAGCGACCTTTAACGGCCATATGATTGAAAAGTTTAAGCGACGGATTTAAAATTGAATGACGTTGAGAACATCTAATAATGAAGACGTCATCAGCAATAGCTATAGGGAGCTTAGGCAACGACGACGGCGCGAGGACGGCCTGTTTACATGGAGGTGGGGGACCCCAGATAGGTGAGGTAACATGGGGCGGGTAACCCAACCATCATGTAAACGTGATCAAATTAAAATGAGAGATTATATGGACGTGCAACTAAAAAGTTTCACGTTGTAGTCGTGCAACAACACTAGGCAAAGAAATGTACAAAAAAGCTACAGTGCACGTGGAAAGTTGTTTTTATTCTAAGTAGAGCTATTGTTTTTTTTTGTTTGTTTTTTTTTTTGCCAATCTCGTTGCCTTCGCATTTAGCATTACATGATTTTTGTTTCCCCTCAGATCACTTCTATATAATTTTACCGTCGATAACTCAGACCATGTTTTGAGCCTTTCAAAAGTCGGGAAAAAACAGTGTACTAGCGTCCGAAACGTTCATGGCATTTTGAATTTCCCATTGACATGTTTTACTCATATAGTTTACTAGTGGAGGCCTATTCGGTTTGTCACAAATCTAACATGAAACAGCTTTACTTCTCAAAACAGTAAAACGCATGCTCTCTAGGCAATGTTCTGTTAAGTTATGCTCTGATTTATAATCTAGAAGTATCTTTCAATTTTCACTTAACATTTCTACAATTAAATGTGATTAAAATGTTCACTGTGCAGTACAAACTGTTTTTTTCCCTTACTCCCGGCTATTTTCTTCGAGCTCCCGATAACTCGAACTCCTAATAACTCGAACTTTTTTCGATTTCCCTTGAAGGTTCGAGTTATCGGGAGTCGACTGTATAGTAGAAAAATAGAGCTTTCCTATTAGCCCTGGCTAAATCTTATCCCTCTGTAGATAGTGGCACCAAATGACAGAATGTTTCCAGTAGAGGTGAGAAAATGTCGTTTGTTTTCACAAAAACGTTTTTTGCTTGTGTTCCTGTTCTCTTTTCTTTTTCACTGACGCTCATTTTCACCTTACTGGCCGCTAGCATGTCTCATTTTCTCACCACTGCATGCTTTAAAATTTTAATGTTGCGATTTCTAATGAAATTCTAATCCGTCTCCTTTGTAACCTGCAGTGCAGGCGTATTTTGGGTGGGCGAAACCTTGTTCGTGTTCGTAATATTGTTGTAGCCGCCATCTTTGATTTTATGACAGTGGAAGATTGGGGAGAGTAGAAGTAGTAAGCCTTACGGATCTCCTCCTCTCTTCGGGAAGTTTCAACATCGCGCTTTCGCGAGCAAATTGCGCGCTAAAAGAAAACGCCTGCACTGCAGGCTATTTCCTTTGCTGTTTTTATTTCTCGCTCTACTTCTTTATCCACGTCAGCCGGTAGACATTAAATTTAGTCAACGGAAAAAAAAGACACTCATTGTTGTTGTTTTTTCTCTCTAGAGTCCGGATGGCCAAGATGACCATATCATGGAGGTCTAATTTCAAGTTAAACACAGGTTAATTACTGGCTCCAAATAAAGTAAAAAAGGTCATTTCACATTGGCTATCCTGTGGCGCGGACGGACGGGCGGACGGGCGGAAAGGCGCACGGTTACTTGGCTATCAATTTCTTACCCATGGTGCTCCGCTTCGCGCGCGCGCTAGCTCCGCTATAACACCATCATCTAAAAAGGTGGTCGCGGCCGCTTACGACAGGTTCGAATATGATGTTTTGGATGTTGGTGGCCTAAAGGAAGTGATCGCTTTAACGAGAGGTGGTCTTAGGGACACTCTTAGATGGAGAGTACACTTTGATACTAAGCGCTTTTCAGCACGAAAAAAAATGCAGCTTGCAAATCCATTTGAAAGCAGAAATAACCATATTTTATTCATAAAGCGCGTAGGGGAGAGTTTCCAATCGTGCCTTAAAACACGACACTTCTAGACTTTGAAAAAGTGCGTCGTCACCTAATGTGGCGCGGGACGCTCTGAGTTCTGCGATGAAACTTATGACAAGTCTGAGCCACTTCTGGTGACTGGTCTGTCGAGTTTGTCTTGGTTGTGTAGGCTCAGTGAGAAATAAATTGATGTTTGCGTAACAGATCACCTACTCTGTTTCAATTTTGGTATAAAAGACAAAATAACTTGCTTTTTCCAGTTCATAAAATCTATTCATTATTTTATCAGCGTCCACAGCCGGTATGACCAAAGAGCCGGAAATGTAAACAAAAGACAGGAAAAAGAGGCTCGGTTCCCCGGCAGGGTTTGACAGCGTTTAGCCTGCTGCAAACTCTGGACGCTGCAAAGACCTATCACATGTTGACACGATTGGTGCCATAGTATCGACTTCTTTTCAAGCGAGTTCAGCCTCTTGCACTTTTGCAAAGTAAGTATTTACCTTCGTTTGTTTTCTCGAGAAAAAGTTTTTTGTTTCACTTGCAGAGATCGAGCGCGTTGTTTATCTTCGCCTTTCAAAACATTTCGGTTTCGCTTCCCGTCTCGAAACAGCTGATTTAAGCTTACTGTTTATTTATTGCTGATCCGCGGCGGTTGCTTCGGTCCTTCAAATATTAATTTTTAATGTCTGAGCTGGAAAATCTTCAGGTTTGTGAAAAATCTTTGATGTGGTCGCTGTGCGCAATTAATTATTAGCTGATCGAACAAAGTGAACTTTTGCTACTAGCTTTATGATAGAAGTGTGAATAATTTAAACTTAATAAGTCAGCCATCATCTGTTCTTTATGAATAGCTAAGTAGTTGTGATATGATGAGGAGTCGTAATATCTTTTTTATTTACTAGTTACCTGAGTTTACTTACAGGAAATGTGTTTGCCCGCGACGTTCATTGGTCTTAACTTTACGTGTGAAATTAAGATGTCTTGTCATTTCCCTTGTCAGGTGTTCTCTACGACCTCTTTCCCCTCTCCTGGGGATTATGTTGTCGATGACCTGCTTCAGTTACCTTTAAACAGTTTTATCAAACTTAGACCTGTTGTATCTTATCAAACCTTAAGCTGCATGCATGGGTTGGGGTAGAAAAAATAAG